AACATGTAGATCAAAGGTGCGTCCATTATTATCGTATCTTCTAAAAGACACCAAGTGAAATATTAGTGAATTATCAGGGTGTATGTACTCCTTTTTCTGAAAATTAGATACATTCAATATCTTTGATGCTGCCGTTGGATATTTTGTGTGAATTGAATACTATAAGTTGAAAAATTTCCTTCCTTCACTTGCGGATACCGCCACGACTATTTGGTGACCGTTGCATTTAGAAAATCGAATTCAATTTTGATGAAAGTTGCCTACTTTATAAACTATAGTATTCCCAGTGTGATTTGATTGTTTAGGAGATGTTTTCATGTACACACTACTTTAACATGAATAACAATGTGGTATGGCTACATGACCTTATGTACATACGTACGAAGTTCTTATCTTATATCTTATTTATATATGAGATCTGTTGCATCGATGTTTATGTTGGGGACATCAGATCTCCAGAACTTACTTGAAAAAGGTCCTAATTTTGGAATTTTTGTGTTTTCAAGCATAAGCTGCTGTTATGTTCGTCATTAGGTACGCTTGAAGCTATTACGAGTTCATCTTAGTCGATAAATGCGAACTAGACAATGAACCAGCGTCCAGATTGGTTACATTGAATCCCAAGCTGTAAAACAGAAGTCTTGGCAAGCGTAGAAAGTATATTCTACAAACACCCAGCAATCACACAATACAATCAAGCACACAACTCTCGTTTATTTATACATCATAGAAACGTCCTTGGGACAGTTAAGGAAAATAGCACACCAAAATACACAGCAGCCAATCACAGCCATGGATTTTCCTGGTGGGAAATGAAATCTTAAGGTCAACTGATCAACCCATGCTTGGAAACGTAAAATCCAAAATCGGGGCATTTATCAAGTGAGTTCTGGGGATCTAACATCCCCAACAGCTGCTCGGTTGACCTTGAGATTACATTTCCCTCTCGAAATATCCTTGACTGTTATTGGTTGATGTATTATTTTAGTACGCTATTTCTTTGGCTCTCCCAAGGACGTTTCTATCATGTATAAATAAACTCGATTTGTATGCTTGTCAACCTCGTATTTTCTGAGTGCTTGTAGAATAAAACACTTTCTACGCCATATCAAGACTTCTCCTCTACTTAGTGAGGCCTTGGAACGTTCTGATAAGAGTGGCCCATCGTGTCACTGGATCATTTGTCTTCGTTCTCATTTACCAAGTAAGATGAACTCGTAATATAACATCCAAGCATCTCAGTTGTTGAGCATACCAGTTTAAATACAGATATTGCAATTTTAATGTATCTCAAGTTTTTGCATGACATCATGTATCATGTAAACAAGTTAGTTTCTAATATACTACCAGTATGAAACTCATCAGTGTTCACCCACGAACTTACAGACGGGAATCTAACTTAGGACCGATAATCTTATTTTAACTCCAATCAGTTTACGATATCCATTGTATTCAGTGGATAGCTGGATCACACCTGACACGGTTGAACTCCACTGGTCACAGATTCTTGCTAGCACTCCTAGAATTCTCTTACAAAACTGCTAGTCACTAGTAAATACATTATAACGTTGTGGAGATCATGCACTATCTTGAATTGATTGAAGTTAGACATTAACACTACTGTGTGCCGAATGAATTGTTTAAAGTTGAAGCATTCGCGCATGAGATCGAAGTTCATGGGTTTGATTCCTGGTTATAGAGTAGTCTAGATGTAACCTTATACTCTTCTGAATTTCGAGGAGTCGACTTTCTACCAGGAAAATCGTTTACTGACCTAGAATATGCCGATGACATTGTTCTATTCGGTGAAGACGCTGACAAAATGCAGAGTCTTCTGACTACCCTAAGCAACAATGGAAGCATGTTCGGGATGCGGTTTTCCCCCTCGAAATGCAAAATGTTGCTTCAAGATTGGGTTTCATCGGCACCTGAACTAATGATAGGGAGTGAATTAGTCGAGCGTGTAGACCGCTTCAGTTATCTGGGGAGTCTCATCAGTGCCGATTGTCCGGTGACTGACGAAATCTCAGCTCAGATACAGAAGTCTCGATTGGCTTTTGCCAACGTGCATCACTTATGGCGCAGGTGAGATAGCCGTTCACTGACCAAAGGACGAGTGTACTGTGCAGCGGTTCGCTCCGTACTACTATACGGATGCGAAACATGGCCGTTAAGATTAGAGGACTTTCATAGTTAACTACTGTTCGATCATAGATGTTTTAGAAACATTGTTCGTATATCATGACACAACCGAGTAAGCAATGCTGTCGTTAGGAAACGAGTACTAGGTAAGGATAGCAGATGAATAGACTAAATAGTGAAACTTGATCATTTGAGATGGTTGGCACATGTGTTACCTATGCCTAACCACTGACTGCCTTGACGAGCTTTGTTTTATGGTGTAGGAGTAGGTAATAAGAAAGTTAGGGACGGCCAGACAAAACATGGCAGAAATGCATGAAGTCAGTGACAAGTGGACTTAACCATGTCGGTAGTTGTCGACTACCTGGTTGTGGACCGCGAGACGAAATTCACCAATGGTTAGAGATCTTGAATGACATGGCTCAAAATCCTTTGCAATGGCGGGCGCAGGTGCATTCACTCTTTGTGTTCTCGCTAATTATAAGCTTCTGAATCCCTCATAATTTCTATCTTACTCCTTCTAAATTTATCTTACTGAATTAAACTTCTCGAATCATATCTTCGCTCCCTAATCTTCTCCATTTCTGCTAATACTTCTACTATCACTATCACTCTTGGATTTGAACTGACAGTTGTGTCTCTGTGTGCTGATGTGGTATGGCAACCTGAACTGATTTACTTATGTACGAAGTTCTGCGTTGTCTCAGTCTGTCTGTCTATAGGCTAGTAGATATGCACTGTGCTGATGAACCCCATACTAGAGGACAAAACAGCCATCCAATACTTGCAAGTTTCTAATAATAGTCTAAAAAATTGATCGACGCATGATTTTCAATCAGCCAATCAATCAGTCCAATATTTTTTTTCTTTTTCTATGCTCTGATGAATCTCAGTAGTCATAAACTAAGCGTGTAAATTGATTTTCACAGAAAAAAATAGCAAAAGCAATTTCTTAATCAATAACTTATTGATTGATCAATCGTGTTTATGTGTGTTGGTGTGTATCCGCGTGTTCTATGATTAGCACAATCCTTATTGTCTCCACTCATCATTCACATATGTATATATCTACATATCTACATCAGTCAATCAATCAACATTTACTTATACCTACCTACCTACCTACCTACCTACACAAATATACATTAGACAAAAAACAACTTTCATTATTTGAATCATTTTTAAAAACTATTAATGAACTTTTTTCGTAGTGTATTAATGTTAATGAATGAATGTTTGATTGTTGTATTACTGTGGTGCTTGAATTGTTATTGTATAATGTGCATTACTATTATTATGGTTAGATTATCGATTTATTCAAGGCAATAATGATGAGTAATAGTGTAATTATGACTCTTTTAAGGTAGCCAAATGACTCGTTATCTAATTGAATGGTGGGTATATTAGGTGACGCGCATAAATGGAGCCTTTAGGGGGGTTGTGGTGACGGCTACATTTTCGTGGTCCTGCCAGGCAACGTGGCGGTGGATACATTGCTGCGGCTAAAAGCCGTTCCGAACGTTTAGGATACCATGCTTAGCATGGTCCAGAATAATGGTACGTGTTCATGGTCGCAAGGCTGTGGATGCGGTTAGCCACTCTGGGGGATTAAGAAGGCGTATTTATACATTTTGGTCGAATAGGAAACAGCATCCAATTCTGTGACATTGATAGTCAGGACAACCAATGAGAAATAACATTGGAGTACGTGACATTGATATCTACTAGGACGACCATAGAATTGACCAGTAGGAATGAACCAATAGGAATTGTCCAATAATTCTCTTAGGATATTGGATGAATATCCTAACAAATCGTTACTATATAATCATGTTGATGTTACCATTGTTAAAGAAAACTGGGTATTCATTATTTGAATGAAGTATGCATTAACTTAGTTCATTGTATGAAACACTGAATAATTCAGTAGTTATAACGTAGAACTTCGTACGTATGTACGTACATTAGTTCAGGTTACTATACTGCATTATCACAGAGATACAATTGTAAATTCAAATCTCTTAGCGTTAGAGGTAGTAGAAGTATTTAGAGATGATGGGGAATTCAGATGAGTACAATTTGAGAGAAGACAGACAATGGATGCATCCGCGCTAGTGCAAACGACTTTGAGTCATGCTATTGAATTTCCTTAACCATCGGTTACTATCATCTCGTTGACCCCAATCAGGTACTGTACACCTAATAACATGACTTAGTCCACTTGTCGCTGACTTCATGGATTTATTTCGTGTCATGGTTTAGCCGCCCCTAGTTTTCTTTCAGCGCAGCTCTGCATTACAAAACATTGCTTATGGTCATATTTTCTACATTTTTTCGGGCAGAGTTTTAGAGGGTTGTGTTTTTACACACATTTGAAATCATCAATCAATCATTGTTAGACCAGCACCATTAGAAACCTGGAAGGAGCACTGAATGACGCTCGTTTCGTCCTGGTATGGGACTACTCATCAGCAGTGTGCATGCACCACTACTGCACCCCGCAGGACTCTAATCCAGGACCTTCGGTATTGTGCGTGAACGCCTAACGATGGGACCACTGAGCCGGCATCCAACGGTGTTAATGTCTAACTCTGATTGATCTAGGAATTTTGCGCGACCTCATCCATTTGTCTTTAGTAGTTACTGCCTACTACACACGATAGGGTTGAACTCCATTGATCACGTCTTCTCATCACTAGAACTCGGAGAACATTCCTCACGAAGCTAGTAATCACTAGTGAGCACATGTTACAATATTTTCAGGCAGAGTTTTTGAAGGTTTTTGTGTTCTTTTACACATTTGAAATCATGAATCAATCAATCTACTTGTTTGTTTTGTTTTAATGTTTCCTTCATAGGTTTAACAAATAATCGTAAAGTAGTTGATAGTTTAATGAATAGCCTGGAATATTCTACAAAGAAATTGCATTTATTACATAATGAATATTGTTTGGCATTAATCACTGCGAATCATTATCAACAATGGTTGTATACACATTTACGTCCATGTCTATTGAAAGGTGTTGAGCGTACTATGCAATTAGCTGCGGAAGTTGTGTAAGTTGTGTTAGTATTTTAGTTGTTCATGTTCTCAATGATTTGGCATCAGTTTTATTCATGGAAGTGATCTATTTTACATTTGAACGATTAGATTAGAGGTTCTCACCTTTTATGATTAATAAGAAAATAAAAGTGTTGTGTCATTAAAGTCTGTTATTATGTAATATTTTACTTGGTAAGTGAGTTATGTTCACATCGTTTAATGTTTCTGTTAGGATATTCATCCAATATCCTAAGAGAATTATTGGTCAATTCGTATTGGTTAATTACTACTGGTCAATTTTATGAACCTCCTGTGGTGTGAGCTACTTATAAGTAGTATATGACGTGAGTGTCAACGTAATGTCTGGCATCAGAAGATGGGGGTAAGATCAAAAAAGGAAGAGTTAGAACACAATGGAATTTGTATGAAACGCATGAATAGTGACAATGGATTGGTGTTTTGCAACAGGAACAGTCCAGTTCGATATGATGAACTGATATTTTGCAAATGAACGATTTACGATATGGTTTTCCAATTTTACTGAGTAACTCTGTAATTTTCGCTAAATAAAATCAGGCTGGTTCACCTGTGTTCTCGTTCACTACACTCCTACATATCAATGTCACATGCTCCAGTGTTGTTTCTTATTGGTCGTTTTAACTGTCAATGTCACACACTTCGATGCTTTTTCCGATTCGACCAAAATGTATAAATACGCATTATCTGCAACGTTTTATGACCAGGACCAGGACAGGGACCCAGTCTTCGATCCCTGGTCCGGGATCCTGATTCTCTTCTGGATTCGGACCTCGTACTTTCATATCAAGTCTTGTCTTATTTTTACTCAATAAGGAGGTTGGGATAATCGGATTTGAGTAGCATGTTGTGTCACCGGATTCTCGATCCTCGCTCTCGTTTTCCGACTATGTAAACTCGTAATTGTTCAGGCATATCAAAATGACGTGTTTAGATGCAGGTGTAACAGTTTCATGACTTAATCTGATTTATTTGATTTTGGGAGTATTCACATCAATCCGTTTTTGCAATCACAAATCAAACTGTGTGTTTGATTTCCAGGAATATTACCTTTGAATGTGCAGGTTTAACTAACTCTCATGGTCATGATTCATTTAATATCATGTTGATCCTAACTAACCTCATAATGATAAGTTTCGTTTATAGATCAAAGTAACATTGTTCGTTCAAGAATTATTCAGCTTTTAAATACTTACTCTACTGCTACTCTAATCAGGATAACAAGTGTTATGAATTACCTATGTTTGTTTTGAAGCTTGTTATCAATCTATCATAAATAAAACTATAGAATAGGTCAACCATTGTTTTCATTAGCGATGCGAGCAGATAAAGGAATGTGAGAAGGGTAAGTCATGAAGTTGGGAGTTTTATAAGGAGGTATAGAAAAGCTTTGATTGTGATCGATTTGATCTCGTGTACTGTAACGGGTATGAGAGCGGATGTTATTTCTTGGCTGCCAACATCGTGAAAGGGTACTTCTTAAGCAACCTGAAAAGGGAATCGCATTAGCGTTGGTCGTAGCGACCTGGAAAGGAGACCGCAAAGTCCATGGGACATTTGCATAAGACCGATCACGCATGGCCTTTTCTAGGAAGTTTTTAAAATGTTAACACCACTCGTCAATTGACCTTACTGCTGGAGACGAAAATCCATGAGATAAGGTGAGGTGTGAAAATTTGAAGGCTTACTAATTCTAACCTACTCCTACCGTTGTGAGAAGGCAGCATCGCTGCAGATGCTGGTTATTCGAGAGAATCACCGTACTGCAATCACAGCCTTGTACAGTCATTAGTGCTATCTACCTCTCACCCTTAAGTAGTTGTCTTTGGTCTTGCCGTTCTCCAATCGATCTGTTTGGCATGAGGCATGAGCTAAATGAACATATATTCCAGCCAATATATCCCGATTGAGTCATAACGATTAGCAAGCCAGGTCACCTCGTCAAGTTAGCAGCTACCGTTGAGATAGGTTAACTAGGATTATGATCCAAGGCCTGTTTGTTCAGCTTCAATATTCGTTCTTAACACTTGATCTGATGTTACTACCTGGCTGCCCAAACTTAATTGTTAGAAACAAGGTTTTTAAACTTCCTATCTTGTGGTTTAAAATTAAATAACTCTGAAACGCTTATCATTCTGATCTACGATATTTTTGAAAGCATTGCTCTGTCTGAGCTAACTAGTTTGTTCGTGAAGATTTTATTGTATCCTTAAGACGACAAGGTCATGCACATGAATCGTCTTATTGCCTTTATTTTTTTCAAAGTATGTCCTGATGATGCCGTCAGGAGATGAGAGGAAATGAAAAACCTAACACTTCTGTGGTTTGCATTATACGGTTGTGGAGATTGTTGAGTCAGTTTTTGAAATCATGTATCACTGTTTGACTACCATTAGAAACCTGGAAGCTATGGATGGCCGGTAGTTAGTCGTTTGCACACAAGACAGAAAGTGCTTGGTTCAAATCCGGTGATTAGAAGGAGTTATGGATGTGCATTACCACTGATGAGTTCCAACCCAAGACGAAACGATCATCATTCAGTGTTTCTAGGTTTTTAATATTCGTCTAATATTGATTGATTGACAGTTTCAAGAGTAATTTCTATGATCGTCATTCTTGAGTTTCGAAAATATATTTTTTTCAACATTATTATACGTCATTAGTGGAGAGGTGTAATTTCTTCTTCACTTGATCTCTGTCTATTTGGAGCTTTGTCTTTGATGTTAACATAATAATGTAATATCAGTCCCTGTGGTCATTAACTGTTGATCTAAGTTGTGCAGGTATATGTAAACTACCTCCTGGTAGGGTTCAGTCAGTCAGTCGGTCAGATGCAACGTAGAACTTCGTACGTAAATACATCAGTTCATGTTGCCATACCACATTAGCACAGAGTTGTAATTGTCAATTCAAATCCAATAGTAGTAGAGGTAGTAAAGGTAGGTTAGGATTAGAAGATATTATTCAAGAAGTGTGATTCAATGAGAAAAGTTTAGAAAGACAAAACTAGAGGTGTTGGAGAATCCAGAAGATTATGACTTGAAAGAACACAAAGAATAAATGCACCCGCGCTATTGCAAACAATTTTGAGCCATGTGATTCAAGGTCTCTAACCATCGGGTTGGGTTCAGTATGTCAACTTTAATCAGTGATTGAAGAGTTGTTGTTGGATGATTCAGTTCAGAATTCATTAATTGATCGAAATGTCTCAACAGTATTCACCATCTTATCTTTTCATCGACTTTGAACTTCAACAATTTTTTTAAAATACACAAAATATCACATACCATTCATCTTTCTCTCTGTGTGTAATGCATCTTTTGTTAATTTTCCTCTCGTCAATGCTATTATGCTTTGTGAACATTGAGTGTGAATGTACAGTCGCGTGTCGTATGTCTATGTCACAATAATGTCAGTAATCGCTTGTTATTATAATAGTTTTATTAATGTCGATATGAAATAGGTGATTTTCATAGATAGAAAGGTATATATGTTTATATGAGTAGTGTCATGGCAACGTTGAAAATAATTTTTTCTCAGTGAGTTAAAAATATTCTTCCTTCTTTTATTTTTTTCTAACCAATCAAGGTGAAATGGGATATTTTTTATTCAGCATTCTTATGATATTACTTAATCAATAGGAAAAAACAACTTTATGATAGATCGTTTAAATTACTATTATCACTACTACTTATATAACTCACACTACTACTATTACTTCTACTGCTCATACTAAGGCTACCACTGCTTCTACTAATACTATTCACATTAATACTACTACTACTACTACTACTGACACTACTATTACTACTACTGCTACTACTACTCATACTACGGCTACCACTACTACTACTACTACTTACTTACTTACATACTTACTTACTTACGCCTGTTACCCCCAATGGAGCATAGGCCGACCACCAGTTTTCTACAGCCAACTCTGTCATGAGCTTCCCTTTCTAGTTCTTTCTAGTTTTTGTTCATTCTTCTCATGTCTTTCTCTATTTCTCGGCCCAATGTGTTCTTTGGCCTTCCCCTTTTCCTTTGATCTTGAGGGTTCCAAGTGAGGTCTTGTCTTGTGACGCAGTTTGGTGCTTTCCGTAATGTGTGTCCTATCCATTTCCACCTCTTCTTCCTCATTTCCTCCTCCACTGGAATCTGGTTTGTTCTCTCTCACAGTGGATTGTTGCCGGTGATGTCTGGCCAACGAATCCGAAGTATTTTGTGTAGGCAACTGTTCATAAACACTTGTATCTTGTGGTATATGTCTTTCGTTGTTCTCCAAGTTTCCGCTTCATACAGTAGAACTATGTTGACATTTGTATTGAAAATCCTGATTTTGGTTTTGTTTGAAAGTTGTTTGTAGTTCCAGATATTTTTCAATTGTAGAAATGCTGCCCTTGCTTTGCCAATCCGCGCTCTCACATCTGCATCGGATCCACCTTGGTTGTCGATGATTCTGCCCAGATATGTAAAGGTGTTAACGTCCTCCAAGGCATCTCCATCAAGAGTGATTTGATTGGTTCATGTTGTGTTGCATCGGAGAATTTTGCTTTTTCCTTTATGTATGTTGAGACCTACTGCTGCAGAGGCTGCTGCTACACTGGTCATCTTCTCTTGTATTTGTTAGTGCGTGTGTGATAGAAGAGCTAGGTCATCTGCGAAGTCCTGTTGGTCTAGAAGTTGGGCGTCTACGAAGTACTTCATTCTGTTTAACAACAATACTCTGTTGAAAACTTAAAAAAATGATTTTTTCTGCCGTGGACGGAAATATTGATACTAAGAAAGACTAGATGATATTTCAATAGTACATAGCCATAATTATAACATGAATTGAACTGAGCGTATTTTTCACGATGGCTGAAGAAAGTTCACAGTTCAACTCCAAGTTGTGTGCGACTAAAAAAAGTACACACTTAACAGATATGTTATCGCTCTATCTTTTCGTATACATAAGAGAGATTTCGTGAAAGGAGCATACCCAAGATAATCATCTTTTGTAACAAGTATTATAATGAAAATTTTATACACAATAGGAATGTGATTACACAAATGTAAATGTTTGTGTCAATTGTACAAGGTGTAGGAATTCAAAACGTAACAAAAAAGATTAAATTTTTTTTAAAAAAAATTATTGATTATGTTAATGAAGATTTGTTTTTTCACTTTTTTTGCATTACGGGGTTGTGAAGATTGCTAGGTTACACATTTTTTTTTGAAACCATGAATCGATCAATGTTAGACCACCATTAGAAACCTGGAAGCACTGAATGACGACCGTTTCGTCCTGGTATGGGACTCCTCCGTGAATCGATCAAGTTTGACATTAACACTGTTAGATACCGGCCTAGTGGTACGATGGTTAGGCGTTCGCGCATAATACCGAAGGTCGATTTATGGTTCCAAAAATGTGTAACCTAACAATCTTCACAACCCCGTAATAATCAGATATATCTTAGAATATAAGCTTGTAATCACCCTACTCTAGTATTTTCTATAAATTAACTTACCGAAAAAAATTTAGGAACCCTTCAAAAATTGAATGAGAATTTTTATTTTGTCATGTTTATGTTTGAATTTTAACTTCCTGTTCTATCATCAATTCACTTGGAAAATTTCTTCATCAAACTGAAATCATTCAATTAAGGTTACGGAGATCATTGTTTTTACACATTTGAAATCATCAATCGACCCTGTCGGGTGTAGGCAGTAACTACCACATAAAAATGGGTGAGGTCGCGCAAAATTCCTAGATCAATCAAATTTAGAAATGAACACCGTTGGATGCCGACCCGGTGGTTCAGACGTTGAGGCCGCGGGTTCGAATTCTACGGGGTGCAGGTGTCATGCATGTGCACTGCCACTGATGAGTTGCATACTATAAGACGAAACGGCCATACAGACTGCTTCCAGGTTTCTAATGGTGGTCTAACAATTCGAATTAGTTTGAATGATTCTGTAATTGATATTTGTACAAAATTGTAATCAGTCTTTGTTGGCATATGAAATATCTGGGCTCCGTAGCTGACTGAAAAACGCGTTGACGTTTGAAGCAGACTAGTTTGAGTCTTGGAATGAATATCAACTCTGAGATGTAGGTACATCTAAGCAAATTAGTGAACCCCTAGTCTTACTAACCTAGTGCATACATTTGTCAAGAATTCCATCTACAAATCAAATCAATCTCTAAATATTCCCTTTCAATTAAACTATACAAATCAGTTCATTCATAACTAGTTTAGGCACTGATCAGATATATCTGAACTGAAAACTGTTTTTATCAATTATACAGTTTATTATGATACTGGATGTTGACCTAATGGATTCTATCTGTAGGTTAAACGTTAGTCGAAAAATCCTTCCAAATAATATTGTTGTACTAAGATTCAACAGATGTTCACTATTGAATAGGTTTTCAAACACTGAAATCATTTTGTTATGTAGCGAGAAAACCAGGCTAGTTTTCTACCTGGACGTAGTTGTATAGACCACATCTTCACACTACGACAGGTCCTTGGAACATAAACACACATTTAGGCGTCCTACAATAGTTGTGTTCCTGGACCTTAAGGCGGCATTTGACTCAGTGGATCGTGTGGTTTTGTGGCAGCGTCTGTCGTTGAAAGGTGTACCAAAGAAGTACATTAATCTTATACAAGCACTCTACTCTAAAACTACTGGTCGGGTGCGAGCTTATGGCGAACTGTCACCGGAATTCTTTGCTTCAAGTGGTGTCCGTCAGCGATGTCCGCTTTCCCCATTTTTGTTCAATGTTGTCATAGACATGCTCTTAGAAATAACCTTATCCTCGTCTGAATTTTAAGGAGTAGAATTTCTACCAGGAATATCGCTTACTGACCTAGAATATGCCTATGATATAGACCTACTTGATCAAGATGATGACTAAATGCAGAATCTTCTGACCACCCTAAGCAAGAATGCAAGCATGTTCGGGATGCGGTTCTCACCCTTGAAATGCAAAATGTTGCTTCAAGACTGGGTTTCATCGGCACCTGAACTAGTGATAAGGAGTGAAGTAGTCGAGCGTGTTGATCACTTCACTTATCTGGGGAGTCTGATCTGTGCTGTTGTCCTGGTGACTGAGGAAATCTCAGCTCGGATACAGAAGACTCGATTGGCTTTCGCCAACCTGAGTCACTTATGGCGTAGGCGAGAAATCCGTTAGCAGACTTAAGTACGTAAGTACTGTTCAGCAGTTCGCTCCGTTTTACTTTATGCTGTCGTTAGGAAACGAGTACTAGGTAAGGATGGCAGATCAATAGATGAAGTAATGAAAGTTAATCAGCTGAGGTGTTTGGGACATGTGCTACGTATGCCTAACCACCGACTGCCTCGACGAGCTTTGTTTTGTAGTGTAAGAGTAGGTTGGAAGGAAGCTAGGGGTGGCCAAACCAAAACATGGCAGAAATCCATGAAGTCAGTGACTAGTGGACTGAGTGATGTTGGTAGATTTAGGCTATGTGGTCATGGTCCGCGAGACGATAGTCACTGATGGTTAGAGACCTTGAACGACATGGCTCAGAATCGTCTGCAATGGCGCAGATGCATTCACTCTTTGTGTTCTCTCTAATTCTAACCTTCTGAATTCCTCACAATCTGTACCTTTCTCCTAAATTTATCTTACTGAATTATACTTTTCGAATCATATCTTGTCTACCTAATCTTCTCCATTACTGCCAATACTTATACTATTGTAGTGACAGGGAACACAGGTGGGGCAACCGAATTGTACTTAACGAAAATTACAGAGTTACTAAGTTAAATTGGAAAACCATATCGTAAATCGTTCATTTGCGAAATAACAGTTTGTCATATCGAACTGGACTGTTCCTGTTGCAAAACATCAATCCATTGTCACTATTCATGCGTTTCATACAAATTCCATTGTGTTGTAACTCTTCCTTTCTTGATCTTCCCCCATCTTCGGCTGCCAGAGATTTCGTTGACGCTCACGTCATATACTACTTATAAGTAGCTCGCACCACAGCACCAAACTTTGGCTATCACTCCTGGATTTGAAGTGATAGTTGCGTCTCTGTGCTAATGTGGTATGGTACCCTGAACTGATGTTTTTACTTACGTACGAAGTTCTGCGTTGTATGTTTCTGTCTGTTTTTACATATACATATAACAGAACCTACAAACTAGAACTAATTGTTCAATTTTCTGTTTTTCTCATAGAAAGTAATCTATACAGCATACCATTGATTGTTTCTTTTAGTGTAATTAAACATTTGGTTCCGTTTTATTTTTCTCTCTAACGATATATATTGATTGTGTACTACTAACTCAATTGATATATTGTCTGTGTAATTATTTGTATATATATACACACAGACACACACACACGCACACTAAGACGTGATGAAAAATGTGTGTTAAAGTTTTGTACTTGTCTATTACATTCTACATTCTTTAATTCTAGATTTTGTTTATAAACATCTCTTTTATGTGATTGTACATTTTTGTAAATGTATACACATTATTTCTTTGAAATAGTTTCATTGTCATTTTGGTGCACTGAATAAAGACGATTTCGTCTTATAAGTATGGCAAGACTCATCATTTGGCAGGTATGCTTACACGAGTCCTACCACTCGCTGGATTCGAACCCTAGAACCTTGTTCGGTCTTGCCTCCCGCCAACGTCGGCATCCAACGGTCGTTGATGTCTAATTGTGATCAATCTAAGGATTTGTGCACATCTTCATCCATTTGTCTTCGGTAGGCATTGCCTACTGCAAGCAACAGGGTTGAACTCCTTAGGTCGTGCCATTTCGGTTATGATCAAGTGATTGGTCTAGCATTGATCGATTCATGGTTTCAAAAAAATGTGTAACTTAACACTATTCACAACCCCGTAATGCAAATTCCCTGTGCTCACTAGTGACTAGCTTTGTGAGGAATCTTCTCCAAGTTCTAATGAGATGATGTGACCAGTGAAGTTCAACCTGTTCGGGTGTAGACTGTATTGATTGAATTTTTTTTATTTACCGCTACTGTTTTCGTCTAATTTTTTTTTCTGTTCACTGTCTTCCAATCTTGTTTTCTCTCTTTTTTGTTAATAGTTGGCATCTTTTAGTTTTTGGCGGTGAAAATATTCATCATTTTCAATCGAATTGGTTGAAAGAATTTCAATCGGAATTAGATTTAACAAGTTTATTAGAACAAAATGGGTTAGTTCAACATTTTTTAATAATTTTTTTATAACACTAACATGGTGGAACTCATTGTTTTGTGGTGTTTTTGGTTCTGCGATCTGATCTGAGCTGGGGATGTTTTGGTTGTGGAGATTTCATTGTTCTTCTACTGAACAATATCGATTCCAGCATAAAGAATCATCTTCAATGTATCCATAGATCTTCACAGACGGTTACGAGTGGTCGCTTCCCGGATGCCCACATCGTGGAAGGTTGTTTCTTGAGGAACCTGAAAAGGAAGACAGATTAGCGTTGGTCTTAGAGACCTGGGAGCGTGACAGCATAGTCTAAAGGACAACTGCTTGAGGCCGGTCACGCACGGCTTTTTAAGGAAGGTTTTTTGAGTATTAGCTCCTCTCTTGAAAGCCCTTAGTGGGCACCCTTACCGACGGAGACGGAAATCCGTGAGGTAGGGTGAAGTGTGACATTTTTAGGGTCGAGCTTTTCTAACCACTTCCTTCCTTGTGATAAGAAGGCAGCATCGCTGCAGATGCTGGTTGTCCGTAGGAAACACCTTACTGTTGTCACACCCCTCTGCAGTCAGCAGTACGATTTCTCCCTCAGACCTTGGGTAGCTGCTTTTAGTCTCATCGTTCTCCCATCGACCTGCCTGGCATGGTAGAACCTTCAGGAACATAAGTTCCAGTCAATGTAGCTCGGTTGGGTCATCAGGATAGACAAGCCCGACCACCACATGTCAAGGTAGCGGCTACGTTCGGGTATGTAGATCTTCATAAATGAAGGTTGATTTATTTTTTTCTGTTTTTTTTGCATAGAGTACAATTTCCTGGACCTGTACATCATAATTTCAATCAAGCATTACATAATAATACAACGCTAACAGGGAATCTTTCACCTGGTTCTTTAATTGTCAATGATTTAACTGGACAAACATTAATTGAATTGTAAGTGTTGACTGTTTTTTTGAAAAGAATATCAGTTATCATCAATGTGGTTGTGTCCTGGAAGTAGAGGTACCGACGAAAATGATGATGAAGTATGTAGCTAACATCTTGGAAACCTTATCATGCAAAGGCCTTTTGTGTGACTGGTTTCAATAATCAGTTGTCCTTTAGTCCTTGTTATGCTGCTCCGTGTTATCAAGATGACTATCAACTGAGTTTTCATATTCAGGTCCCTCAATAATATGGGCAGTCAAACAGTTAGCTGTATTGTAGAACTTCCCACATACGTACACATCAGTTCTAGTTGCCATACCATATTAGCAAAGTGAGATGAAATTTTCGATTCAAATCTCAAAGTTGGTAGAGTTAGTAGCAGTATTATTCGGTATGGAAAAGATTAGGGTTTGAAGATTATTATTCAAGAAGTATAATTCAGTGAAATAAATTTAAAGAGTGAAGGTTAAGGGTGATGAGGAATTCGGAGGTTTAGCATTTGAGAAAAAGACAAAGAGTGAATGCATTTGCGCCATTTCATACGATTTTGAACCATGTCATTCAATCACTCTAACCATCGGTAACATCGTCTCGCGAACCTCAACCAGGTAGGTGGTCTACATCTACTAACACGGCTTAGTCCACTTGAAATGGACTTCTTAGATTTGGCGTGGTATCCCTAAGCTTTCTTCCAGCCTACCACTATATCAAACAACATCGCTCATCGAGGCAGTTTGTGTGATTAGTTACAGGTACTCTTGGCTTTGCAGTCTTTAAGTAGAAATATGTGGGGTTTCCTTGCGGTGTCTTCCCATCGTTCAGTAAGATATGAACAAATACGGACCCCTTAATAAATCATTAGCCGAATCTAAACATGTGCTGTAGAACAGGTGGCAGCCTACTATCGAGACTCTTCATCAGTTGCTGATAGTAATTTGGCTTGTTGGGTGGTTCATCACTTTGTCTGCTTTTGGGGTCAATTATGTCAAAAGAAGTTTATCCGTATGCTTAAAGTTGGTATTAGCCAGAAATAGGTTGTTATTTGAGCATAAGTGCAGCATTACGGGGTTGTGAAGATTGTTAAGTTACACATTTTTGAAACCATGAATCGATCAATGTTAGACCACCATTAGAAACCTGGAAGCACTGGACTAGCTTCGTGAGGAATTTTCTCCGAGTTCTAGTGGGAAGACGTGACCAGTGAAGTTCAACCTGTTCGGGTTGCGCAACTCCATGAATTTGATCAAGTTAGACATTAACACCGTTAGATACCAGCTCAGTGGTCTAACGGTTAGGGCGTTCTTGCACAATGTCGAAGGTCCTGGGTTGGAATCCTGCGGGGTGCAGGAGTCGTGGATGCGCACTGCTGAGGAGTCCCATACCAGGACGAAACGGCCGTCCAGTGAATCCAGGTTTTTACTGGTGGTCTAACATTGGCCGATTCATGGTTTCAAAAATGTATAAGTGCAGCAGACAGTCACCATTATTTATTTTCTGAGTAACGACACCATAAGATTGGTGTTCATCAATTAGCAGTCAAACGCCACGACAATTCTTCGCTTATATCAATACATACCGACAGTTATGGACATGCATTCGATTGGGACAATGTAGAAATACTGGATAGGTGGAGGACAAAGAACATTAGAGAATTTTTAGAAGCTTGGCACTCAGGTCAATCAGCAATCAATAAACACATGTACGTTGACCCAATTTATCAGCCAGTCAGCAAAATCATAGGTCACATAGGATCAAGAAACAGATCAAAAGTGGGGAATACAATCAAAACAAAAGTTCAAACAACGACCGATTTAAGGTCAACATCAACCAATCAAGATTGAGGTTAGCAGAACAAGCTACAGGTCGAACGTGGAGAAATTCGAACGCTTCACTTCTATTTGAAGTTTGTGCTGATGATGTTGTTCAGTGGAAGAACAATGAAAGCTCCACAACCAAAACATCCGCACCTCAGTGAACGAAACACCACCACAAAGACTCGATTATCAGCAAGCTGATCTCATCTGCTGTTAGGGATATGATAGGAGATGACACTTACCGGTTTTCCACACTGTGGAAGGGTATTATTTCCTGGAAAACCTGAAAAGGATATCAGTTCAATGTTGGTCTTAGCTTTACCACAGAGCCCAAAGAACAACTGCTTGAAACAGATCACTCACAGACTTTTTTAAGGGAAGTTTTTAAGGTTTTAACTCCATCGTTCAAATGGCCTTACTACCAGAGATGAAAATTCGTGAGGTGAGTTGAGGTGTGACATTTGTACAGTTTATCTATTATAAACCCCTTCTTCTTCAGTTGTGAGAAGACAACATCACTGCAGATGCTAGTTGTACGAGTGAAACGCCACACTGTGATTACAGTCTGCAGTACGAATTAGCACCTACACCTTAAGTTTCTGCACCCTGAGTTATATGTTGGAGTTTGCATTGTTCAAGTTAGGCATGAACACCGTTGAATGCGTTCAAGCGCAAGACAGCTCACTGGTTTTAGTATGTGTCTTATAAAACACCATGTAGGCATTCAACAATGTTAACGTATAACTACTTTTTCGCACGAGATTGAAGGTTCTGGGTTCGGTTGTCGATTGCCAGGCCGCTGGTGCGCACTGTGTAATCTCATACTAACACAAAACAGCTGTTCAGTGCTTCCTAGTTTAGGGTGATGGTCTAGCGTTGATCAATTCATGGTTTCAATGAAATGTATCAGTCCCCATAACCATTCACTGTCAGTTATTAATAAATTGAAAACTAGAATACTGTTGCATATTGTGTACACATTAAAATATCTCTCTAGACCCTCTGGGGCTACTTCTAGTCCCAAGCCCGGATAAAGAAGGGGGGTTGGATATTATTGGGTTAGCGACCCTATCCCTCAAAATACTAACTCGCTAAAAAAACGCCAACTAGGAAAAAATAATTCAAACCCTGTGTAATCTCTTCTCTGGGAGTTAAAAGTTTTTCATTTAGGAGAGTTATGACGTTTCATGGTGAAATCTGAGTTCTCTCATAAGTCACGAGGCCATCGCCCCATCTGACAAACACAACCCTTTCACCGTGTGGACAGTCGGTAAGTAATGTAACCTCCGCCCTCATACCCATAAAAGCAACTGATTGACTAGTCATGAGCTTTGAATTTTGAAATCTGATTGGTAAGCATAATTGTTTTATATGTCTGACCACAGTCTACGTTGACAAGGATGTTTTTTCGGTGTAGTTAGTTGAAACGAATGCAAACTGAATTAAGACTGATCATATTGTAGTGGAGGAGAACACAGGTGCGGGCAACCGAGTTGTATTTATCTCAAATTACAGAGTTCCTCAGTAAAATAGGAAAACCATATCGTAACCGTTAATTTGCAAATCTTCAATCCATTGTCTGACATTTCACTATTCATGCGTTTCATACAAATTCCATTGTGTTCTAATTATTCCTTTCTTGATCTTCCCCCATCTTCTGCTGCCAGACATTACGTTGACACTCACGTCATATACTACTTATAAGTAGCGCGCGCCACAATATCACTTCATGAACTCATCAAATTTTAGGTCTGTCATTTTGATATTTTTACAGTAACGCGTCGAATGCATTCACTCTTCATCCTCCTTACGATATTTAATTTTAATTTTCTTTTACGTATCTATTTTTTTAACATATTGAACATAGTTTTGTCAAGTTCCACATCTATATTACTAACAAATCTTAAATAAGTAGTATTATTGTTCCTAACTTCTAAAACTGATTTCTATTTCATAGAACACAATTACATAAAAATAAAGAATTATTACATAGAGAAACAGTGAATCAAATGACTAAAGAATGTTTACAATGGGAAGATGCATTATCACAATGGCGTGCTGTATTTGCTAATCCTGGTCCTAATCCATGGTCAACAACAACTATATTCACTACACCCACATCAAAAAATATTTCACCGATAGATCATTCTTCCAATGGTTTGCATTCTATGAAAGATGAACATGCGAATCAATTCACATCATCATTACCTGATATTCAAGATTTATGGCATGATGATCGTGCACGTCCGGTGAAGTAAGTTCTTTGTTTTTGGCTTATTTTGTGAAATACTGATAATCCAGTTGATGATTGATATGTTGTTTGGGTCGGCGCCAATGTGCGTCATTTATGGCGTAGGTGAGATATTCGCTTGTTAACTAAAGGACGAGTGTACTACTACGCAGCAGTTTGAAAAATGGCCGTTAAATCCATGAAGTCACTGACAAGCGAGATGATAATAATCGATGGTTAGAGACCTTGAACCCTATGGCTCAGAATCGTTTGCAATGGCTTCCGGTGCATTTATTCTTTGTGTTCACTCAAACTCTAACCTTCTGAATTCCTTATAATCTCTAACTTTCTCCCTCTAAATTTATCTCACTGAATTATACTTCTCGAATCATAACTTTGCTCCCTAATCTTCTCCATTACTGCTAATAATTCTACTATCACTATTACTCTTGCATTTGAACTGACAGTTGTGTCTGTGTGCTGATGTGATATGGCAACCTGAACTGATGTACTTATGTAAGTAATTGATTCTAATGAATATCGACTTACATCAATTTAAGCAGTTTGAAAGTGTTGGGATGTAAGATACTCAGAACTCGCTTGATAAACGCCTTATTTTGGATTTCATGTTTGCGAGCATGGGCTGATCAGTTGACCTTCAAGATTTCATTTCCCACCAGGAAAATCCATGGCTGTGTGATTGGTTGCTGTCATTTTAGTGTGCTATTTTCTTAACTGTCCCAAGGATGTTTCTATGATGTATAAATAAACGAGAGTTGTGTGCTTGAATGTATTGTGTTGTGATTGCTGGGTGTTTGTAGAATATACTTTCTACGCTTACAAGCTTTTTATCTTCAGCTTGGGATTCAAGGTAGCCTACCTGGACGCTAGTTCATTGTCTCGTTCGTGTTTATCGACTGAGGTGAACTCGTAATAGCTTCAAGCGTACACCTAGTGACGAACATTGAATTACTGTTAACGACCGAATGATAACAGAAAACTCTTATTAATTTTTAAACATCACACTTATTATTTACTTACTTACTTATTTACCTAAGTAATTGATCTGAAAAATGTTTTGATGTATTTACTCACATACATTTCTAACAATCTGGTGACACACATCACAGTTGTCAAAGCATTTTATATGAAGATGAATAAAAGGTCAATTAAATAAAAGTTCAAATAGACATAGTAAGATAATTGTAAATAAAGGAGAGGGAAAATTAACGTAATATGAAAAGAATACGAAAGGGTAGGAAAATTGTCACATTACCCTAGGCTTAAAGATTACCAAGGTAAATTCAAGGTTATAACAAATTATCTTTGTACACATAAGGGGAGTTTTAATTTTCGAATTGCCAAGGACTATAAACCTCAAAATTCGTGTCCTTCAATATTTCTGTACAATGTTTTGAAGGCTGTTTTGATGTCAATCCTATGCCCTGTCTCAATTATGTGTTTGGCGATCGATGAACATGCTTTTCTATTTCCAACGCTAATCGGCTAATCTGAAGTTTCCTGATTTTGAAGCCACTTAGGTACATGTTCGCCATAACCCTTGATTGCAAAGTCCGATTACTCCTTCCTATGTATGTGTGTCCACACAAACATGTAAATTGATAAATGCAATGTGATGTGATGTAATCATTCGAGCAACGTTTAGATATGTGTGAAATCATGGACTTGGTCTTTTCAATGAATAATCAGTTTAACAACGTTGTATGTTTTCTCTATGGCTGCTTTTAGTCGCTGCGACTAATGGATTCTTACGTCTTCCTCTTTTGTCTTGGCCTTGAGGATTCCACGTGAAATTCTCATGTGACGTAGTTGGTTGCTTTCCTGTCCACTTACTTTCTGCTCTTCTTCTTGATTTCTTTCTCCAGTGGAATCTTGTTTGTTCTCTCTCATACTGAGAAGACTGAGGCAGGCGCGGAAGACTGCATTATGCAAATTTACACTCTGAGTCAATTAAAAACGAAAACATTACATTGAATACTCTATTTGCACACCATCTTTGAGTCGTGACTTCAACACTCCATCCTTCTTCTTCAATTCATGTTGTTGCTTCCTTTCCTTCCTGTTGATACTCCATTTACTTCTTGCGTTTGGTCCATTTGCTTTCCGTTTTCCTCTTCTGACCGTGAGACTTCTTCTTTCACGTGCCTTCTTATACTACTTATATTGTTCGTATAAGTAGCACACACTACAATAGTAGGTTCTTGTTGATAGTGTCTAGTCAGCGGATGCTCAGTAGTTTGCATAGACTACTGTTAATAAATACTTATATCTTCTTAATGATAGCTTTCGTAGTTCTTCAAGTTTCTACACCATACAGTAGCATTGTCTTGACATTGATATTGAAAATTATGAGTTTAGTGTTGATTAATAGTTGTTTTGAGTTGCAGTCAGTCAGTCAGTCAGTAGCAACGTAGAACTTCGTACGTATGTACATAAGTTCATGTTGCCATACCACATTAACACAGAGACGCAGGTGTCAAATCAAATCCCATAGTGATAAAGATAGTAGAGTTATTAATGGTAATGAAGAAGCATAGGGTTCGAAGATATTATTCAAGAAATATAATTCAGTGGGGTAAGAATAGAAAGGCAAAGCTAGAGGTGCTGACGAATCCAGAAGATTAGGATTTGAGAGAGCACAACGAACGGGTGCGCTTCCGCCATTGCAGACAATTTTGAACCATGTCTTTCAAGGTCTCTAACCATTAGCGACTTTCGTCTCGCGGACCTCAACCAAGTAGCCTACATCTTCCAACATGACTCAGTCCACTTGTCAGTGATTTCATGGATTTCTGCCATGTTTTGGTTTGGCCGCCCCTACTCCTACACAACAAAAAATAGCTCGTCGAGGCAGTCAGTGGTTAGCCATATGTAACACATGTCCCAACCACCTCAACTCATGAAGTTTCATTACTTCATCTATTGACTTGCCATCCTTACCTAGCACCCGCTTACTCGGTTGTCCCACGGTATACGAGCAATGGTTTTAGGACATCTATGGCCGAAGTTGCAGATATTCTTCAATTGTAAAAATGCGCTACCCTTACTTTGCCCATCCTCGCCATGCACATCTGCTTGAGATCCACCGACCATCGACCACACTTAATTAAGAAAAAGGTTGATGGTTATTGGGACATAGTCGAACTTAGTTTAAAACAGTAAGTTTTTTTAATTCAACCAAGTGTCTCTCTGTGTTTTAATTTTTATATCATATTTTACACACATATATTTATATATTCTTTAATAATTCATGTAACTTTCCCGTGTTGTTCTTTTCTCTAAAAAAAAAATCTTAAAAACAACAAATATCAAGTCTTTGTGAAGTATCATTTCGTTTAGCAATTTGTGAATTTGAATTATGTTTTGCTAATTGTCTTGCTGATTCTGAATTACAATTAGTCAATATTTTAACGGATGCACAATGTCGATTAAATTGGCTTTCATTCACAAAACAATTAACCAATGATTATCCAGTGAATATAATGACACCGATTACATTTTTACATGATTCTTGTGATACTACTACTACTACTACTAATACTACTGCTAATACTACCACGAACAATACTACTCATGAACATACCAATACTACTAGTAATAGTAGTAGTAATAATAATCATAATCATCATGACGATGTAGATATGCAAAATGGCATGGATGAGAATTGTAATCATCTTGTCATAATGAATGGTCATGATAATTCGGTAAGTGGGTAAATTTTTTTTTCTTGTTATTTCTGCCTTATTTTCAATGGTTTTGGCGTTGATTCAATTTTTGTCTTTTTGAAATGATGAACAGATAATTTGTAGGTCAGCTGGATTGATGAATGTGTCTGGAGTTTTGTTTTTTCAACTGAAAAAAAACATGAATATCAACAGCATCAGCAGCAGAAGTGATGTATTCGAATGTTGCGCAAACTACACGTCCAAAACGTGGAGAATTCGGAATACTTCATGTTACGCCTGCATGTAAACATGTCAATTTGATATACTTGAACTATTACGAGTAAACCGTAGTCGGAATACGAGAGTGAGGATCAGGCGACACGACATGCTACTCTAATCCGATTATCCCAACCCCCATATTGAGTAAAATAAGAAGACAAGACTTGATATGAAGTAGAACCTGTATTCTACAAGCATCCAGAAAGTACGAGGTCCGAATCCAGAAGACAACCAGAATCCCGGACTAGGTATCCGGGACCGGGTCCTGGTCATAAAACGTTACAAATAATGCGTATTTATACATTTTGGTCGAATAGGAAACTGTTGGGGATGTTAGATCCCCAAAATTCGCTTGGTAATGCCGTATTTCGGTTTTCACGTTCGCCAGCAGGGGCTGATCAAATGACCTTGAGATTTCAATTCCCACCAGGAAAATCAATGGCTGTGATTGGCTGCTGTGTATTTTAGTATGCTATTTTCTTAACTGTCTCAAGGACGTTGTTATGTTGTATAAATAAACGAGAGTTGTATGCTTGATTGTACTGGATTGCTGGGTGTTTGTAGAATATACTTTCTACGCTTATCAAGACTTCTGTTTTACCGTTGGATTCAAGGTAGCCTTCCTGGAAGCTGGTAAAAGCATCGTTCGTGTTTATCGACTAAGGTAAACTCGTAATAGCATCAAGCATACTAAGTGACGAACATATCAGTGGCGACGGGGCTCACAATTCACAATGTCAATTAACCTTGAACAGTTAGAATCTTTACTGGAACGTCAAGGTAAACGATATGAACAGTTGCAGGAACGTATGTTGGAGCTGTTAAGGAAACAAATGAATTTGAACCCAGGAGATTGTTCGTTTTCTGAGACTGTTCAGACTTTAAGCCAACACTTTGGAGACAACTCGTCACTATTTAATACTCGTTATCGATGTTTGAAGCTTATTATGAACGAAGATGATGATTTTCTTACGCACGTGGGCATCGTCAACCGTGAATGCGAACGCTTTCGGTTGAAGTCTTTGTCGGAAGACCAGTTCAAAGCCCTCATTCTCATCTGCAGCCTCCAGTCGAGTAAGTTCAGTGACATTAGAACAAGGCTACTAAGTCGGTTGGAGCAAGATCCAAAGCTTACGCTTAATGATATGGCTCATGAGTACCAACGTCTCACTGACCTACAACGAGACTCGACTATAGTTCAGAGTGGTAGTTCAAGCCGATCTGAAATTCATTTGGTACAGCAGCCACCTAATCATTATAAGTCTGCCCATGCTACACCCAGTTCACCCCGCTCCAATTCGGCCCAAAAACCCAAAATGAATCCACCTTCTGCTTGCTGGCACTGCGGTTCATGGCACTATGTACGGAACTGCCCATTTAGGCAGCATAGATGCAGGAAGTGTAAAGTCATCGGTCATAAAGATGGCTTTTGCCTACAGAAAAAGCCAAAGCGATCCAGAAGTGCTAAGAAGCCTCTTCCTAGATCCAGTACCAATGCATTGAGCCTAATATCTTCCTGCCAAAGTTCATCACCAGGTGAGAGGAAATTTATTACTCTTAATATTAACGGTTATTTGTGTAGAATGCAAATAGATACTGCATCTGATGTCACTATCCTCTCACGCAAAAATTGGACCAAGTTGGGCAGCCCAAGCCTGCAGCACACAACACAAAAGCCTCGCACAGCATGTGGTAATTATCTTCGTCTGTTAGGACAATTGGAATGTAAAGTTGCTTTCCGGGATTCGTCGTTTACTGGGGTATGCTATATAACGCCAGCTGATCTGAATTTACTTGGTTTAGATTGGTTCGACCAGCTAAAATTGGCTGATGTCCCGCTAAATACCATATGCAACCTGGTATCACAACGACATGACCCAGAAGCGTATACGAAGAAGCTGATGACAGAGTTTTCAACCATTTTTGAACCTGGATTAGGTCGGTGCACTGCTATGAAAGCAACACTTCGGTTGAAACATGGGGCTAAGCCTACTTTTCGTCCAAAGAGACCTGTACCGTATGCTACATTAGCAACAGTAGATGAAGAGCTGGATCGCCTTCAACGACAAGGAGTTATTACTCCCGTTTCTTACTCCAGTTGGGCAGCATCTATAGTCGTTATCAAGAAGGCCAACGGAACGATACGTATATGTGCTGACTTCTCTACAGGTCTCAACGCAGCTCTAGAACAGCATCATTATCCTCTGCCAGTTCCAGCAGATCTGTTCACTATGCTGAATGGAGGAAAGTTCTTCGCAAAGCTTGACCTAGCTGATGCTTATTTGCAAGTGGAAGTCGATGAAGCATCTAAAGAGCTGCTTACTATCAACACTCATCGTGGTTTGTTCCAGTATAACCGTCTACCTTTTGGAGTTAAGACTGCGCCGTCTATCTTCCAACAACTAATGGATACAATCCTGTCAGATATCCCAGGGGTTGCAGCTTATCTCGATGATATCTTGATTGTTGCGAAGACGTTAGAACAGCTACGGGAACGCACGACATTGGTACTACAACGCATCAGTGACAATGGTTTCCGGTTACGCCCAGAAAAATGCCAGTTTCTATTGCAGTCGGTAAAGTATTTGGGATTTATCTTTGATGCCGACGGTCGCAGACCGGATCCTGAAAACATCCGAGCTATCAAACTGATGCCTACTCCCACTAATGTTTCCGAATTACGATCTTTTCTCGGTTTGATCAGTTATTATTCAGCTTTTGTTCCCTCGATGCATGATATTCGCGCTCCATTGAATTGTCTACTGCAGAAGCATAGCACATGGAACTGGAATAAAGAGTGTGACGCGGCTTTTGATAAACTCAAGTCTATAATTAGCTCGGAATTGTTATTAACACACTACGATCCATCCATGCCGATCATCGTAGCAGCAGACGCTTCAGCATATGGCCTAGGTGCTGTTATTTCACATCAGTTTCCAGACGCGTCAGAAAAAGCCGTTATACATGCATCCCGTACACTGACCCCAGCAGAAAAGAAGTATAGCCAGATAGAGAAAGAAGCTCTTGCCCTTGTGTTTGCTGTTCGCCGTTTCCATAAGTTTCTGTACGGTCGGAGATTCACGCTCCTCACAGATCACAAGCCTCTGTTAGCAATATTTGGTTCAAAGTCTGGCATTCCAGCCCATTCTGCAAATCGTCTTCAGCGATGGGCCTTGGTACTTTTGGGGTATGATTTCGAAATCCAATATCGACGCACTCTACAATTCGGTCAAGCAGACGCTTTGTCACGACTCATTAATGATCAAGTGGCGGCTGAGGAAAACATGGTGATCGCATCTCTGTCAGTAGAAGACCACGCAGAATGTGATCTGACAACCGCAGTTCGCGCATTACCGGTGTCTGCAACAGACATACAAAATGCTTCTAGAAACGACCCCATCATCAAGATGACGATGAAATATGTCACTAACGGTTGGCCGTCGAAAAAGTTTGAAGGTGACATCAAGCAACTGTATCAGCGGCGGGATTCACTATGCATCGTGAACGATTGTCTCATGTTTGGTGAAAGAGTAGTGGTTCCAGCATCCCTTCGTGCAAAAGTGCTGAGACAGTTCCATCTTGGTCATCCTGGGATTAAACGAATGAAGTCCATAGCCAGGAGTTATGCATACTGGCCTCACATGGATCAACATGTCACAGCGTTGGTTGAAAAATGCATGCGGTGTCAGCAGGCGGCAAAGATGAATGCCAAAATTGCGCCGGTTTCATGGCCCAAACCTGAGCATCCTTGGTCCAGGATACATGTCGACTTCGCTGGCCCAATAAATGGAACTATGTATTTAATTGTCGTCGACGCCTTTTCTAAATGGCCGGAAATCAGCCCCGTTATGCCGCCCACTACAACTAAGACTATACAGCTCCTAACTGAAATTTTCTCACGAAATGGCATACCAGATGTGATCGTATCCGACAATGGCTCTCAATTCACCTCTTCCCGATTCCAGAATTTCTGTCAACGGCTAGCCATTAAACACTTACGCTCGCCACCATACCACCCGCAATCGAATGGGCAGGCGGAAAGGTTTGTGGATAAGCGAGCGAGTCGTGGATGCGCACTGCTGATGAGTACCATACCAAGACGAAACGGTCGTCCAGTGCTTCTTCCAGGTTTTTAATGGTGCTGGTCTAACAATGACTGATTGATGATTTCAAATGTGTAAAGATACAAACCTCCAAAACTCTGCCCCAAAAAAATCTCGTTATACAAAATTTCCAAATCTGTGCGACACTATTCAATTTCTCAAAGTTAAGATGATTATTTGTAATTGATTGAAGTTCATTTTCAGAGTTACACATCATTAACTGATCTAAGCTAGACAACTTTTAAGATACCTTGAAGCATTGGACGGCAGTTTCGTCCTCTTTTGAGTGCGCATCTACGATCGATGCCTTTGGGAATTGAACCTGAGAACTGTCAGTCTTGCACGCGAATGTTCAACCTCTAGAACACTGAGTGTAACTGTCTAACTTCAATCAAAAAATAATATCACGCAGCCTTCATTCATGGACAGCTAGGACGCAGCTGGACGATCTGGACATCGCAGATGACCTGGGTCTTCTATTTCACTCGCAACAACAAATGCAACAGAAGCCGACCAGTGTAGCAGCAGCCTCTGCAGCAGCAGTAGGTCTCAACATACAGAAAGGAAAAAGCGAAATTCTCCGATGGAACACAACATGCGCCAACCAAATCACTCTTGATAAAGATTCTTTGGACAACGTTAACACCTTTACATATCTGGGCAGCATCATCGACAACGAAGGTTGATTCGATGCAGATGTGAGGGTGCGGATTGGCAAAGCAAGGACAGCATTTCTACAGTTGAAAAATATCTGGAACTCCAAACAACTTTCAACCAAAACCAAAATCAGGATTTTCAAAACAAATGTCAAGACAGTTCTACTGTATGGGGCGGAAACCTGGAGAACTACGAAAGGCATCATCCAGAAGATGCAAGTGTTTTTAAATTTCAGTTGTCTACGCAAAATACTTCGGATTCGTTGGCCAGACACCATCAGCAACAGCGTACTGTGGGAGAGAACAAACCAGAAACCAGTGGAGGAGGAAATCAGGAAGAAGCGGTGGAAGTGGATAGGACAGACACTACGAAAAGCACCTAACTACATCACGAGACAAGCCCTCATTCGGAACCCTCAAGGCGAAAGGAAAAGAAGAAGGTCAAGGAATACATTACACCGAGAAATAGAGAAAGATGATGAGAGGAATGAACAAACATTGGACAGAATTGGAAAGGGAAACCCAGGACAGACAGAGTTGGTTGGAGAAAACTGTTGGGCGGCCTATTCTCCATTGGGGGTAACAGGCGTAAGTAAGTAAGTAAGAAAGCCTTCATTCATTGCCTGCGGTGGATTACTGTCCCCTACCAGACACGGAATGAACTCCACCAGTCACAATTTCTCATTAGAACTCCAGGACTAGATTATACTGTTAACCATCAGTGAGCACATAATTGTAAGGTTAGGGTTGATGCACTCTGCTGATAAGTCTCATACTAGAACAAAACGCCTATAATTCATAATTTTCTCTACAAACAACTAACTCATTTTCACTGAATCACAAAACTTTCTATCAAATGTCATCTACATATATATGCATATTGTATCCAATCTCAATAATGTATTTATTCAGTCAGAAATATATATATATATATATATATATATATATATATATATACTTATATGCTGTTTGTTAGTTTCTGGAGGATGTATATTGGCACATCTAAGTGCATTGATTATGAATGTTAATCAGAATATTTTTGATATCATTTGATGGCACTGTTGTGATAAGCATTGTAAAGATGAAATCGATTGTGCTTAATCATCGCTGTGTTGTTATGTAACAGTGTGCGTGTGTGTGCGTACGTTGCTAATCTTCTGCTTATTGGTTAATTATCTTGAAAATGTATGCTTAATTACAAATTATAATGATCGGTTGATTACTCGTATGACATGTCATTCTCATTTCAATCTTAGTTGTTCGAGTTAGTTACATGTAGAATTCGCGTTAATCTCATGTGAATTTATTCTTTTCTCATTAAGATTCCCATTTCTAATTTGAATGATTCTTATTCGGTGACATCGAAATTCATGGAACAAATGTCACATTCACCATTTGCTCTATCCACATCGACTACATCCGATGTGTTGTCGTGTATGGAACAACCACCGCCGTCGCTACACCAACACCAACAACAACAACGTCCAGAACGTAATCGTCTATGGCAAAGTGTACGACAATCAATGTCAAAATTTCGTTCACATTTTTTCATTAGAAATAATCATGTTCGTTCGTCAACAAGTGCTATACCAACTACACGTACAACATATCAATCTCGTCTACGTGAAACTATTATCACTTCGATACCATTGTTCAATACAACAAATGAGCACAGTACTACTACTACTACTCCTGCTACTACTGATAATCCCAACGAAAATCATAATCATAGTCAGTTAGCTTATAATTCAACTGTCAATGGAATCACTGATCAAAAATATTTAGGTAAGTTGTTTTACGAGGTTGTGAAGATTATTTAGTTTCGAATTTTTGAAACCATGAATCGATCAATGTTAGACCACCGTGAATTGATCAAGTTAGACATTAACACCGTTAGATACCGGGCCAGTGGTCCAATGATTAGGCGTTCGCGCACAATACTGAAGGTCCTGGGTTCGAATCCTGTGTGGTGCAGGAGTCGTGGATGCACACTGCTGATGAGTCCCAGTCGTACTAGGACGAAACGGCCGTCTTGCAGTGCTTCTTCCAGGTTTCTGATGATGGTCTAACATTGATCGATTCATGTGTAATTTTTAAATTGTTTTATATATGAAACAGACTCATTTTAAACAATCAATCACTTATGTTGGATGCTACCACCAGTTCAATAGTCTAAAGAATGAGTGTTTGCGTGTACAAGACCAACAATTCCTGGCTTTGATTCCTGTGTGAATCGTGGATGCGCGCAATGGATAGAGAGAGGAGACTCATTCAGTGCTTCCAGGTATATAGAATACCAGTGTAACATTGATCGAATCATGATTTGAAGAAGTTACTCAACTACTCTTCACAACTATTTAACAACAACTTTGATTGTTAGAACGAACTGTTAAATTTTACAGATATTTAAAGAAAAGATGTATTTTGTAACTTAACTAACTATTCACTGGTTCTGTTATCGATGTTAAGTTATTTCTGAAAATAGTGAGTACATGATATATGATATCTTATTTACTTAGTTACGCCTGTTACGCCTATTGAACGATAGGCCGCTGACTAGCGAATTACTTCTCTGGTTAGCGCATTTTTCTTCAGTGGGTTAAATTTCTACAGGATGAAGTTGCTAATCCCATCATACCCAACCTGCCTCCTTTATCTGCCGGACTAGGGACCGGCAGTAATCCTAGACGGTCTCCATGCGATCAAACATAATTCACACTGTCATTCATGAAAGCACTGCATACTTATTCTCAGTCAGTCAGTCAAACAGAGGCAATGTAGAACTTCGTATAAGTACATAGGTTCATGTCGCCATACCACATCAGCACAGAGGTGTAATTGTCAATTCAAACCCAATAGTAGTAGAGGTAGTAAAGGTAGGTTAGGATTAGAAGATATTATTCAAGAAGTATGATTCAATCAGAAAAGTTTCGAAAATAAAAACTAGAGGGGTTGAAGAATCCAGAAGATTAGGATTTGAGAGAATACAAAGAATAAATGCACCAGCGCCATTGCAGACGATTTTGAGCCATGTCATTCAATGTCTCTAACCATCGATTATTATCATCACGCGGACCCAAACCACGCAGTCGACAACTACCGACATGACTCAGACCACTTGTCAATGACTTCATGGATTTCTGCCATGTTTTGGTCTAGCCGCCCCTTTCTTCCAACCTATTCCTACACTACAAAACAAAGCTCGTCGAGTATACTTATTCTCGTTAACCTACCCCATAAAATAATGATCATTATTTGAAGATCATAATTCGTATGATGTAATTAAAACTTGATTACATTGTATGTCTCTTATTACTCACTATTCATTCACTAAGCATTAGATTAGATTGTCAATCAAATAAATGTCAGCGAATTCGTTGACCGAATTGAACTGACTGACAAGTCATATTACTTACTACTTATAAATGAATAAGGTCAACCAGCATGTGACAATCATAGTTATTGGTTAACAATTTTGTTTTATTTTGTTATGGGTTCAAAAATGGTTTGTCATGCTACAGATGCTTTTATTCTTTGATTTTAGCGCGTCGAAAATTCCTCATGATCTTTGATGATTATTTGAAATTGTTTTTATTTTCAAAAAATTTATTTCACTGGTGTTTTTCATCTTTTAAAAAAATGTATTTTCTCGAGTCTTATCTTCGATTCCTAATCTTGGCTATTACTAATATGCATTACGGGGTTGTGAAGATTGTTAAGTTACACATTTTTTGAAACCATGAATCGATCAATGTTAGACCATCATCAGAAACCTGGAAGCACTGCAAGCCGGCCGTTTCGTCCTGGTGCATGGGACTCATCCGTGGGAGTGCGCATCCATGACTCAGGCACCTCTCGGGGTTCGAACCCGGGACCTTCGGTTTTGTGCGCGAACGTCTAACTATTAGACCACTGGGCCGGCGGCATCCAACGGTGTTAATGTCTAACTCTGATTGATCTAGGTATTTTGCGCGACCTCACCGATTTGTCTTTGGTAGTTACTGCCTACTGCACCCGACAGGGTTGAATTCCATTGGTCACGTCTTCTCATCACTAGAACTCCAAGAATTTACTCACGAAGCTAGTCACTATTGAGCACTGCAGGTGGAGTTAACTATTTCTCTCCTCACTTATTAAATTAGATTTGAACTGTAGTGACTAGTTTCGTGAGGAATCTTCTCCGAGTTCTAGTGGGAAGACGTGACCAGTGAAGTTCAACCTGTTCGAGTGTAGACAGTAACTACCGAAGACTGTATATGAGGTTGCGCAACTCCATGAATTGATCAAGCTAGACATTAACACCATTAGACTCCATCTCTCTGCGGTCCGATGGTTAGTCGTTCGCGCACAATACCGAAGGTCCTGGGTTGGAATCCTGCGAGGTGCAAGAGTCGTGGATGAGCACTGATGATGAGTCCCATCCATACCAGGACGAAACGGCTGTCTACCAGTGCTTCTTCCGGGTTTCTAATGGTGGTCTAACAATGATTGATCGGTTATTATATGTAGCTCAAGCGATGCTGTCTGTTAGGAAACGAGTAATGTGTAAAACACACAAACTACCTATAATATTCATCAAATAAACTCTAACTTTTCCCAGTTGTTGTTGTTAATCAACTTAATTAAAATGATAATTCATGCAGAAACAATTTTCTTTGCTAGTCAATATAAATTTATCTAAATCTTATCTCGTTAAGGCCAGATCGATCAGTGTACATCATTGTCAAAACTTCACAATCAATACTTACTTACCTAACATTCACTAGTAAGTAGTATAAAAGATACTGTTGATGATATCGGTATTTTTTTAATCTTTTACAATAGAATTGAACTCTAACATTATCTGTTATTTGCATACAAATATATATATATATATACTCACAATCTTCTATTGCTTATCTCTCATCAATTGAATGTATATATACAAGTTGAATAAGAATGAATTTAAGTAGTAGTAGTAGTAGTAGTCATTGTGTATTTTAATTTTTAGGTCAACAAGTATGTGTACGTGTGTGTGTGCGTTTGTGTGTTTGTCTAATGTTTCTTAATCTCTCCTCTACACTTGCATAAATAGAATTGAATCGATGAACTTCGGTTGAATGTTCAATGTAGGTAGATAGATAATTGATAAATATTTATTGAAGAATGATTTGTTCAACACAGTTAATTTGCCCTTTTTTTTCTGGTAAATTTAAATAAAATAGTGAAATTTCTTGAATCATTGTTGATTGGTTGATTTGGATATGTCTTAAACAACAAACACACTTGTTCAATGTACATTGATTGATAAGAATTTGTCAAGTTACATTGTTTTATTGAAATGCTTTCTATTATCAATGTTAAAATTAAATTATTGAAGATAATTTGTAAGTAAACTTAATCATTAATTTGATGTGTGTACGTGTATGTGTGTATGAGTGTATGTGTGTACGTTGGTTGGTGATTGATGAAATCCGATTTAATCTGAAAGTTAATTGTAACAATAACAATATCCAATGTTATTATTTTCAATAATAACATGATCTTTGTCCAAATTTTCAGAAGTCGAATTTCTACTAGGAATTTCGTTTACTGACCTAGATAGAATATGCTGATGACATAGTTCTATTCGGTGAAGATGCTGACAAAACGCAGTCTTCTGACTACCTTAAGCAACAATGCAAGCATGTTCGGGATGGGGTTCTTACCCTGGAAATGCGAAATGTTGCTTAAGGATTGGCTTGCGACTTGTCCGGAACTAGTGATAGGGAGTGAAGTAGTCAAACGTGTAGACCGCTTCATTTATTTGGGGAGTCTAATCAGTGCTGATGGCCTGGTGACTGACGAAATCTCAGCGCGGATACAGAGGGCTAGATTGACTTTTGCCAATCTGCGTCACTTATGGCGCAGGCGAGATATCCGCTTGTTAACCAAAGGACAACTGTACTGTTCAGCAGTTCGCTCTGTCCTAGTATACGGATGCGAAACATGGCCGTTGAGATTAGAGGACTTTCGTAAGTTACTAGTCTTCGATCGCCGATGTCTCCGAAACATTGCTCGTGTATTCTGGGACAACCGAGTAAGCAATGCTGTCGTTAGGAAACGAGTTCTACGTAGGAATGGGAAGTCAATAGATGAAGTGGTGAAAATTGATCAGTTGAGGTGGTTGGGACAAGTGCTGCGTATGCCTAACCACCGAATGCCTCGGCGAGCTTTGTTTTGCAGTGTGAGAGTAGGTTTGAAGAAAGTTAGGGGCGGCCAAATCAAAACATGGCAGAAATCCATGAAGTCAGTGACAAGTGGATTGAGTCATGTCGGTAGTTGTCGACTACCAGGTTGGGGTCCGCGAGATGTTAGTAATCGATGGTTAAAGACCTTAAATGACTTGGCTAAAAACTGTTTGCAACGGCCCAGGTGCATTCACTCTTTGTACTCTCTCAAATCGTAAACTTTTTAATCCTTCATCACTTTATCTTTTCAAGTCTTTTTCATTAGATTGTACTTCTTCAATAATATCTTCTACTACCTCTACTACTATGGGATTTGAATTGACAATTACGTCTCTGTGCTAATGTGGTATGGCGACTTGAACTGACGTACCTAGGTACGAAGTTCTAGTTGCTATTGATTGATTGCATCACACAGGCTTCGAACCGAACTCCTTCTGTTTTTGCTCACAAACACTTAACCTTTGGAAACATGCAAGACCAGATGTCCTGTGTTCGAATCCTATGAGTAGCAGGAGTCATTGATGTACACTGCCACTGATGAGTCATCTCATACCAGGATGAAACGGTTCTCTAGTATTTTCATTTGATCTCATTTACTTGCTGTCATTTTTTTGCAGTGATTATTTGCATTGTTGCAAATCTTATCAATACTGATACATATTTCTTAACGGTTATTGATCATTCTAATTTAAAATGATTTTTAATGATATTACACATTAACAATTCTGTTACACATTGGAATTGAATGTTAATAAGTCATTGTTAGACCAACATTAGAAATCCGTGAATATTGAACGATGGCTGTTTCGTCTTAATACGAGAGGACTTATCAACAGCAGTGCTCATCCACGACTCCTATCACTTGTGGAATTCGAACCCAGGACCTTTGATCTTGCGCGTGCGAAAGCCTAACCTTTGGACCATTGGGCCTGGTGTCGCGGCTCAGAGAACGGACAATGGCGACCGTTTGTTGCAACTATGCTCAGATAACGGCCTATTCTTAGCAAAAACTAACTTTAAACATAAGGAAAAACATCTGTTGACTTGACGAACCCCAAAGTCGTCTCAACGTTGGACCCAACTAGATCACATTGCCATCATCCACCGATGGAGTGGTTCAATAGAGTACTGTCGCTCGTTGTGGGGCACATGTTTAGATTCAGACCATGCCCTAGTGCGAGCGCGTATTTGTTTGAGCCTTACTGGGCGTAGGAAAGACACCGTAAGAAAGCCTCTTATGGTTTTACTTAATGATGATAGGGCGAAGAATAAATTTCAGGAACAACTAGAAAGACAGTTAGGCGACCATGTAAGTGATTCCCATCCGGAGTCAGGTTAGAATGATATCAAAATGGCTGTGGAAACAGCAGTGATATCTGCTAGTAAGGTTAACCATAAGGCTAAAATGAAGCCATGGATCTTTGTAGCATCCACCGATCTGATGGATGCCCGAAAACTCATCCCACCTGGCTCTGAACATGATGAAGAACGAAGTCAGCTTAGGCTCAGGCTTATAAAAAGCCTACGTAACGACCGTGAACACTGGTGGGTGGAGAAAGCGAGAGAGATGGAAAAGGCAGCGGCGATAGGCAACACTAGACAACTTTTCCGACTTATCAAGGAAACTGGTATTAGGAATCCTAGTGTAAGTGAGACTATCTCGGAAAATGATTGGACTATTATTTATTCTCTGTTCAGGAGATTGGGTCAATGGGCAGAACATTTAAGTGATCAGTTCAACCGGCGTCGAGCCACTCTTCGGTTACCCACGATCTCCAGTCATCCTGAATGGCAAATCGACATAAGTCGCCCAAGTCTTAATGAAGTTGAAAAAGCGTTAGAAAATCTGAAGCGAGGACGAGCTGCAGGTCCTGATAGACTGACCCCTGAGATATTTAAGGATGGTGGTCCAGTTTTAGCAGCTAGGTTGACTGAGATTTTAGGTAGAATCTGGGAACTAGACGTAATCCCATCCGATTGGTCCCGATCACTAATTGTCCCAATCTATAAAAAAGGACCATTTGGTTGCCATCTAACGGTGATAATATCTAACTCTGATCAATCCAAAGATTTAGCGCAACCTCAATCAGTTTTCTGCGGTTGTTAATGCCTATACTTGACAGGTTGGAAAACTCCACTGATCACGTCTTCTCACTAGAACTGCCAGAATTTTCATATGAAGCTAGTCACTTGTAAGCATATTCGTTAAGCTGAATGTTTTGGTTGTGGAGTGTTAACATAATCAACACACCACACCACACCAAGCACCACAATCGAAAAAGCGCCAATGCTCAGAGAAAAAAAATTAAAACTCCATGATAAATTACCGAAAATTTTTTCTCATCTCACACTACTATCTCAACACTAACTTGGTTATTTTACTTTTTTTTTTAGCTGCCGATACTCCATTACATCATCATTTCAATAAACAGTTGAATAATACTAACCAAAGTTCAATTCAATCTAATCGTGAATCACAAGATTCCACATCCATCTTAGCTAGTTTCCCCATAGTGAGTGAGGTTAGTAGTATGATTATTATTATTAAAATTATTGCTGTTGTGATTATTATAATGATAATTATTATTATGATGGTTAAGTTGTTTTAATTTCGATCAATTTTATGAATTCCCATTACGTTTATACATTAAAGTACTGCATCTTGATTGGTTGAGATGGTTGAGACATGTGTTTACATAAGCCTCAATCAAGTATGTTTTGTGGTGTAATAGTAGGTCGGAAGAAAGTTAAGAGTGACTAGAACAAAACATGGAACTAATCCATGAAGTCGCTACTAATAAATGGACTGCGTTATGTTGACAAGCGTAGACTATATGGTTGGGTTCCATGAGACCCGACCGAAGCTGCTACCTTAACGTGATGGTCGGGATTGCCTATCGTCATGACCCAACCGAGCTTTACTGGCTGGAACATATGTTCCTGCAGGTCCTACCATGCCAGGCAGATCGATTGGAGAAGGATGAGACTAAAAGCATCTACTTAAGGTCTGAATGCGAAGTACTGCTGACCGACTGTGAAGGGGTATGACAGCAGTAAGATGTTTCCCTCGGACAACCAGCATCTGCAGCGATACTGCCTTCTCACAAGAAAGGAAGGGTTAGAAAATGTGGACCCTGAAAATGTCACATCTCACCCTACTTCACGGATTTCCGTCTCCTTGTGTAAGGGTGCCAACTAAGGGCCTTTAAGAGCGGAGCTAACTCTCAAAAAACCTTTCATAAAAAGGCCGTGTGTGACCGGCCTGAAGCAGTTGTCCGTTGGACTCTGCGGTAACGCTCCAAGGTCTCTAAGACCAACACGAGTCCACCTTCCTTTTCAGGTTCCTCAAGAAACAACCTTCGACAGAGTGGGCATCCGGGAAGTGACAACCGCTCTCATACCCGTAATGACAAGCGAGACCAAATCGGTCAAAATCAAATCCTTCCCTGAGATATTAGTTAGCGATGCTTAGAAATTTTGGATGACCTGGCTCAAAATTTTATGCAACGGCGTAGGTGCATCCAGTCTTCGTGTTGTCCCAAATTTTAATCTGAATTCCACATCATCTTCATCTCTCTCTTATCAAATTTATTTCATTAGATTTTACTGCTTGAATTAACATCTTCAAACCCTAATCTCTCCGATTACTGCTCATAGTCCTACTACCTTGAACCACTATGGGATTGGAATTGACAACTGTATCTCTGTGCTACCACGTTTTATGACAACTTGAACTAATGTACGTAGGTAGGACGTTCTATGTTGTTTCTGACGGACTCATCGTTAAATCATATAATCTTTCCCAAGAAAAAATACGTAACTATTCATTCGTGAATTTCAACAAATTTTAAGACTGTAACATTAGGACTATGTGAAAACAACAGTCTGTGAAACGATCACTGGGTGGGTGCATACAAAGTTGGAATTTTCAGTCGATTTCCAAAAATGACAACAGAGATCAGATCGATGTATTTCTTTCAAGAAGAAGATGAGCACAAATAATCTACTGTAAGGTTTACAATCAACAAATTCATTGATCAATGTTGAATTGTTTAAATTACCATTTGTTTCGGCGATTTTTTTTGGTTTGACCGCCCCTAGCTTTTTTCCAACCTACTACAGAAATCCATGAAGTCACTGGCAAGTGAACTGAGTCATGTTAGTAGATGTAGGATACCTGGTTGGGGTCTGCGAGACGAAAGTCACCAGTGGTTAGAGATCTTGAACGACATGGCTCAGAATCGTTTGCAATGGCGCAGGTGCATCCACTCTTTGCGTTCTCTCAAGCTCTCAAACTTTCTGAATTCCTCATAATCTCTATCTTTCTCCTTCTAAATTTATCTCACTGAATTATACTTCTAGGATCATTTCTCCGCTACCTAATCTTCTCTCCATTACTGCTAATACTTCTACTATCACTATCACTCTTGGATTTGAACTGACATATGCGTTTCTGTGCTGATGTGGTATGGCGGCAACTTGAACTGATGTACTTACGTACGTACGAAGTTCTGCGTTGTATCTCTCCGTCTGTCCATTTGTTTCAATAGAATTGTTGAAAAATAATTACTTATTAATGCTTAGATGTGCTGGCGCAAAATCCTGATATTGATATCAGACTTAGACATTAACACCGTTGGATACCAGCTGGTTTAATGCGCTACAAAGTTCAAGGGTTCGCGCGTAATACCAAATGTCCTGCCAGTAGTATAAGTTTAGTGGATGCGCACTGTCACAGACGAGTCCAACCATACTATAGGACGAAGCAATCGTTGTTCAGTGCTTTCAGGTTTCTTCTAATGGTGGTAGTTTCAAAGTCAGAGTTAGATGCAACGTAGAACTTCGTACGTAAGTACATCAGTCAGTTCATGTTGCCATACCACATCAGCACAGAGATGTAATTGTCAGTTCAAATCCAATAGTAGAAGAGGTAGTAAGGGAATTAGAAATAATCGGAGAGGTTAGGATTAGAAAATATTATTCAAGAAGTATGATTCAATGAGAAAAGTTTAGAAATACAAAACTAGAGGCGTTGAAGAAACCAGAAGATTAGGATTTAATAAAACACAAAGAATAAATGCAGCGGCGCCATCGTGAACGATTTTGAGCCATGTCGTTCAAGGTCTCTAATAATCGGTGACTCTCTTCTTGCAGACGCCAACGAGGTAGCCTACATCTACCAACATGACGCAGTCCACTTTTCAATGACTTCATGCATTCATGCCATGTTTCGGTCTGACCGCCCCTAACTTTCTTACAATCTACTCCTACACCACAAAACATAGCTCGTCGAGGCAGTCGGTGATTAGGCATACGTAACACATGTCCAAACCACCTCAACTGATGAAGTTTCAATACTTCATCTATTGATCTGCCATTCTTACCTAGCACCCGATTCCTAGTAACAGCGTTCCTCACTCGGGTGTCCCACGATATACGAGCAATGCTTCGAATATACCTCTCATCAAAAACCAATAACCTACGAATATCTTCTACTCTCATTGGCCATGTTTCACAGCCATAAAGTAAGACGGAGCGAACTGCTGCACAGTACACTCGTCCTTTAGTTTGCAAACGGATATCTCGCCTACGCCATAAGTGACGTAGGTGTTGGCTAAAGCCAATCGAGCCTTCTGTATCCGTGCTGAGATTTCGTCACACACACCATGTCATCAGCACTGATGAGACTGCCAATGGTGGTAGTTTAAACAAGGTAAAACGTATCATCTTTGTAATAATACTTTATAGCAACAATTATTTTTACTTTATCCGCGAAAAAACAACTTCGATTTTGTCAATTTTTATATTATTATTTACACACTTAAATAGAAAAGAAGAATATTTGAAAATTATTTTGTGGTATGTCAATTGATCCATTGTACAAATTTGTGTGTTCAAATTTCAATAATAATTATTATTATATCAAAAAAATGTTATCCCAGCGTCATTGTTTTTTGTGTTTTCCTGTTTATTCATTGAGTTGACCCCGTTATTCTCTATTTGACCGGATCCTTATCCTGAGCGTCCGATGAATATAAACAACATTATCGACTATCGATAATGTTTATGTACTTACTCATGTGTTAACGTATGCCTGTAAGTCTTAGTGGTGTAGTGTAGTAGGCCGGCAACTAGCATTCCCTCAACCTACTCTGTTCTGGGCGTTCTTCTTTCCAGTTCTGTCCAATTGTTGTTGTTCATCCTACTCATGTCTGTCACTATGTCTCGATGTCGTGTGTTCTTTGGTGTTTCTCTTTTTCTTTGACCTGAAGGGTTCCGAGTGAGAGCTTGTGTTTGTGACTCAGTTGGGCGCTTTCCGAAATGTTTGTTCCAATCCATTTCTAGCGCTACTTCCTGATTTCTTCCTCTTTTGGAATCGGGTTTGTTCTATCCAACAGTTGTTTGTTACTGATCTTGTCTGGCCAACGGATTCGAAATATTTTGTGCACAGATAACTGTTAACAAACACTTGTATCTTGTGGATGATGGCTTTCGTAGTTCTCTAAGTTTCCGCTGCATATAATAGAATTGTTTTGACATTTGTATTGAAAATTGTGACTCCGATGTTGATTGCGTTCTAGATGTCCTAAAATTTTAGAAATGATGTCCCTGTTTTGTTAATCTTGCCTTTCACATCTGTATCATATCCACCACGTTCATCCTTGATGCTGTATCTTCTAAAGATTCCTCGTCAGCTCTGATTTAGCTGGTGCATGTTGTGCTGTATTGGAGAATCTTGTTTTTCCTTATAGGTCTATGTTGAAACACTTTACTACAGAGTCTGCTTCTACGTTTGTCGTTTTCTCCTTCATTTGTTGTTGCATTTAGAATAGAACAGCTAGATCATCTCTGAAGTTTTGATCGTCAACCTGCTTTCTAACTGTTCACTGTATCCCTTGTTTCCACTCAGATGTTGACATCTTCGTAATCCAGTCGATCACCATAAGAAAGAGGAAACTTGAGCGTACGCAACGTTACCTGACAGACAGATAGATATAACGCAGAACTTCGTACGTAAGTACATCAGTTCAGGTTGCCATACCACATCAGCACAGAGAGGTAACTGTCAGTTCAAATGCAAGAGTGATAGCAATAATAGAAGTATTAGCAGTAATGGAGAAGATTAAGGATCGAAGATATGATTTGAGAAGTATAATTCAGTAAGATAAATTTAGAAGGAGAAAGATAGAGATTATGAGGAATTCAGAAGGTTAGAATTGCGGAGAACACAAAGAGTGGATGCACCTGCGCTCGCCATTGCAAACGATTCTGAGCCATGTCGTTCAAGGTCTCTAACCATTGGTGACTATCGTCTCGCAGACCCCAACCAGGTATCCTACATCTACCAACATGACTCAGTCCACTCGTCAATGATTTCATGGATTTCTGACATGCATTGGCCTGGTCGCCCCTAGCTTTCTTCCAATCTACTCCTACACTGCAAAACATAGCTCCTCGAGGCAGTCGGTGGTTAGGCATACTCAACACATGTCCAAACCACCTCAACTGATGAAGTTTCATTACTTCACATATTGATTTGTCATCCCCTCCTAGAACTCGTTTCCCAATAACAGCGCGGCTCATTCGGCTGCACCAGGATAAACAAGCAATCCTTCGGAGACATCGATGGTCGAAGACTAATAACCTACGAAAGTCCTCTACTCTCATTGGTCATGTTTCGCATCCGTATAGTAGGACTGCATGAACTGCTGCACAGTACACTTGAACGTTACGTGACACCTCTTATTGGTGAACTTTCATTCTTCGAGTTAAGTATTCTTTCCAACAAAGGTTCATATGCATAGATCCGTATATCAGTCTAATCTAGTTTTCAAGTCTTCTCCGAGTTCTAGTTGAGAAGAAGTGACCAGTGAAGTTCAACCTGTTCGCGTGTAGACAGTAACTACCGAAGACTGTGTATGAGGTTGCGCAACTCCGTGAATTTGATCAAGTTAGACATTAACACCTTTAGATTCCGTCTCTCTTCGGTCCGATGGTTATGCGTTCGCGCACAATACCCAAAGTCCTGGGTTGGAATCCTGCAGGGTGCAGGAGTCGTGGATGAACACTGCTTCTGATGAGTCCCATCCATATCAGGACGAAACGACCGTCTACCAGTGCTTCTTCTTCCAGGTTTCTAATACTGGTTGGTCTAACATTGATCAATTCATGGTTTCAAAAAATGTGTAACTTAACTATAGTGTTTTAATTTTGAATAATATATTTCAGAAATTATTGTCATGTAATTTTTTTAAAAAAAATATATTTATTTTTTTGTAGTTTGATATTGATATCAATAAAGAACCATGGTTTCATGGTGTTTTGCCTAGAGCAGAAGTGGAACGGTAAGTTTTTTCTGTGTGTTTTTTAATAGTTTTGTTATTATTAAAGCTGATAACACCTTCATGTGAATATTGTTGGTTGTTTGGTTTAAGTATTTTCACGAATATGGAACATTTAAATTACGAAAGACAATATATAGTTCTCATACTCTAACCCTGATTAGTACAGTTATTTGAATGATTATGTCAAAACGTTGTGTTGTTAACATTTTGTTGCGCATATTTATTATACAGTTTGTATGTTAAAAAGGACGAGTGTACTGCGCAGCAGTTCGCTCCGTTCTCCTATATGGATGCGAAACATGGCCGTTAAGAGTAGAGGGCTTTTGTAGGTTACCAGTAATCGATCATAGATGTTTAAGAAGCATTGCTCGTATACCGTGAGACAACCGAATAAGCAATGCTGTCGTTAGGATCGAGTTCTAAGTAGGGATGGCAGATCAATAGATGAAGCGGTGAAACTTGATCAGTTGAGGTGGTTGGGACATGTGTTACGAATGCCTAACCACCGACTGCCTTGACGAGCTATGTTTTGCAGTGAAGAAGTAGGTTGGAAGAATGACAGAAATCCATGAAGTCATTGACAGGTGGACTGAGTCATGTTGGTAGATGTAGACTACCTGGTTGGGGTCCGCGAGACGAAAGTCACCAATGGTTAGAGACTTTGAACGACATGGCTTAGAATCGTTTGCAATGGCACGAGTGCATCCATTCGTTGTGCTCTCTCAAATCCTAATCTTCTGGATTCGTCAGCACCTCTACCTTTGTCCTTCTAACCTTATCTCACTGAATTATACTTCTTGAATAATATCTTCAAACCCTAGTCTTCTTCATTACCATTAATACCTCTACTAACTTTATCACTATGGGATTTGATTCGACATTTGCATCTCTGTGCGGCAATGTGGTATGGCAACATGAACTTATGTTCATACGTACGAAGTTCTACGATGCAGCTGACTGACTGACTGACTGTATGTCATGAATCGATCAATGTTAGACCAGCATTAGAAAACTCGAACGCATTGAACGGCCATTTCGTCTTGGAATGGGATTCATTCACATTTCCTGCTACTCGCAGGATTCGAACGCAAGACCTTTGATCTTGTACGTAAATGCCAAACCGCTAAGCCCAGTATCCAACAATGTTAATATCTAATAACCTCATTCATTATTTTCATCGAGCATCGCTTCACACTGGCAGATGTATCATCTCACATACCAGAACGAAACGACAGTCATTCAGTGCTTCAAAGTTTTTTACGATCATTTAACATTGATCGATACTTAATTTGATGAAGAGGTAATAATCCAACAATCATCACAACTCATAGTTAATGTACATTGTAACACTTCAACTATAAAAGAATGTGATCTGATTTTATTGATTTACTGATTTACTGATTAGATTAGGTGTGGCTTTTATCAGTCACCATTGTACTACAACATGATAAGTCATAGGTATATATAGAGGATTTTTGTGCAAGGTCAGATTATAGATTGCGGCGTGAAAAAATTTTGAATACACATTTGTATATCCACTATATATATATATATATATATATATATATATATATATATATATATATATATATATAGAATATGTACGACTCCTGTATATTAGTTTTTAATTTTGGGGCAGAGTTTTGGAAGTTTGCGTTTTTACACATTTGAAATCATCAATCAATCATTGTTAGACCACCATTAGAAACCTGGAATAAGCACTTGACGGCCGTTTCGTCCTGGTATGGGACTCATCAGCAGTGCGCATCCACGACTCCTGCTCCTCTCAGGATTCGAACCCGGGACCTTCGGCAAGAAATGAATACAATTCTAATGCTGTCTTGTTTAATTATTGAATAAATCATGTTCCTTCAGTCGTTCACTCTTCATACTCACTCACTCACTCACTCAGTGACTTACTTACTTATTTACTTACTTACTTATGCACTTACTTACTTACTTACTTACTTACTTACTTACCTACTTACTTACGTATTCATACTGTCGTTCTAGCGTATTGTTCTGAATAGCTTGTTTTAACATGAAATCAACTGAGTAACACTGTCAACAAGTATGAACATGACGTACAATAATAATAATAATAATAATAATAATAATAATCATAAACTTTGCCCTTTTATTTTAAATTCTTTTGAAATGGCATGTGTGATGAATATATATATATTTTCTCTGAATTATTTTCAATCTAGAAATCACTGATGTCATTGATACTAACAATCGATAAAATGCGTTAACTAATTGAAAATCTATTCATCATAGATTATCATCTCCATCTCTTGTTTGAGATATAACATTGTCTGTTATATACAGCATACATCTGATGGAGTAAATAATTCACCGATGGAGTTGTCTGTGTCCTCTGGTACTCTGGTTATCGTGATTTACTTACTGACTTACTCTTCATTATGCCTGACTGTAGCTGCTACCTTGACGTGGTGGTCGGGCTTGACTATCGTCATGATCCAACCGAACTATATTGGCTGGGACTTATGTTCCTGAAGGTTCTACTATGCCAGACAGGTCGATTGGAGGACGATGAGACTAAAAGCAACTACTCAAGGTCTGAGGGCGAAGTCGTACTGCTGACTGCAGAGGGGTGTGACAGCAGTAAGGTGTTTCCCTTCTCACAAGGAAGGAAAGGTTAGAAAAGGTCGACCCCAAAAATGTCACACCTCACACTACCTCATGGATTTCCATCTGCGGCGGTAAAGGTGCCCACTAAGGACTTTCAAGAGCGGAGCTAATACTCAAAAAACCTTTCATAAAAGTGCCGTGCTTGACCGGCCTCAAGCAGTTGTCCCTTCGGCTCTGCGGTCACGCACCCAGGTCTCTAAGACCAACATTAATCTATCTTCCTTTTTCAGGTCCATCAAGAAACAACTTTCGACGGTGTTGGCAGCCGGGAATCGAGAAACGTCTTCATACTCGTAACAGCACGAGAGACCGAATTGGTCAAAATCACATCCTTCTTACCCCCCTCCTAATATCTCTCTTATCTCTACGACTTACGCTTGTCGCATTCTTTCACCTCGTTCTAAACTACATGTTGGAGCATTTAATGTTCGGAAATTGTGTCAAATAGGCCATAGGCATCATTGGCTGGGACTTTAGAATCGCGCCCAATCGATGTATGCAGCGTCTCGGAAACGCGCACACATGATCCTAGTAAAACCATTAATCTTACTTCACCTTATCAAAATAAAGAAGCATCCCGATTTACTCTTCGTGTACCTGGTAGCCCTGATGCTGCTTCCCGGGGTCTCGCTTGTGTAAGTATAGTGTTGAGTCGAAGGGCGGAACTAGCTCTCCTAGACCGGATTCCAGTAGATAGTCACTTGTGCGCTGTCCGACTGAACGAGACAGTAAGGATTCGGAAAGAAAAGGACACTCGCCGTTGCCTCTTCGTCGCATCTACCTATGCCCCCACTGACTGCAGTTCAGACGAGGTGGGAGACGAGTTCTACAGAAAGCTTTCGAACCTCCTCCAAAACGTTAGGCACTCTGATGTAGTAATAATGGCTGGTGACTTTAATGCTCAAGTAGGTAGACTAAGTGAAAATGAAAGACACCTAGGTGATGTTATGGTGTCGCGGCTCAGAGAACAGATAATGGTGACCGTCTGTTGCAAGTATGCTCAGACAACCGCCTATTCTTAGCAAACACTAACTTTAGGCATAAGGAAAAACATCTTTTGACCTGACGACCCCCGAAGTCGTCTCAACGTTGGACCCATCTAGATCACATCGCCATCAGCTACCGATGGAGGGGTTCGATAGAGGACTGTCGCTCGTTCTGGGGCACATGTTTGGATTCAGATCATGCCATAGTGCGAGCGCGTATTTGTTTGAGGCTTCCTGGACGTAGGACAGACACCGTAAGAAAGCCTCTTAGGGTTTTACTTAATGATAATAAGGCGAAAAATACATTTCAGGAACAACTAGAAAGACAGTTGGGCGACCATTTAAGCGATTCCGATCCGGAGTCAGGTTTGAATGATATCAAGAAGGCTGTGAAAACAGCAATGATAACTGCTAGTTAGGTTAACCATAAGCCTAGCATAGCATCTCAATAGCATCCACTGAACTGATCGAGGTTCGAAAACTCACGCCACCTGGCTCTGAACATGATGAAGTACGAAGTCATCTTAGGCGCAGACTTATAAAAAGCCTACGTAACGACCGTGAACACTGGTGGTTGGCGATAGCGAGAGAGATGGAAAAGACAGTGGCAATAGGCAACAGTAGACAATTGTACCGACTTATCAAGGAAAATGGTATTAAGAGCCCAAATGTGAGACTATTTCAGAAAGGGTTGGTCTTATTATCCGTTCTCAATCCAGGAGACTGGAGTGATGGGCAGAACACTTTAGGGATCAGTTCAACTAGCCTCGAGCCACTCTTCGGTTACCCACGATCTCCAGTCATCTTGAATAGCAAATCGACGTAAGTCCTCCGAGTCTTTATGAAGTTGAGAAAGCGTTAGGAAATGTGAAGCGAGCACGAGCTGCAGGTCCTGGTAGACTGACCCCTGAGATATTTAAGGATGGTGGTCCAGTTTTAGCAGCTAGATTGACTGAGATGTCAGGTAGAATCTGGAAACTGGACTTAATCCCATCCGACTGGTCTCAATCACTGATTGTCCCATTCTATAAGAAAGGACAAAAGTCTTCTTGTGACAATCACAGAGGAATAAGTCTAACTAATATAGTGTCTAAAATATTCGCCTCAATAGTGCTTCGACGCCTAACGAAAGCTCGTGAAGAGCAGACTAGAGGAAACCAGGTTGGTTTTGGACCTGGACGTGGTTGTATAGACCACATTTTCACACTACGACAGGTCCTGGAACACAGACACACATTTAGGTGTCCTAAAATAGTTGTGTTCCTGGACCTTAAGGCGGCATTTGGCTCGGTGGATCGTGAGGTTCTGTGGAAGTGTCTGTCATTGAAAGGTGTACCAAAGAAGTACAATTACCTAATAAAGCTCTCTACTCGAACACGACTGGTCGAGTGAGAGCTTGTGGCGATCTGTCATTGGAATTCTTTACTTCATGCGGTGTCCGTCATGGATGTCGGTCTAGCCTATTTTGAGGACCCGAGTAAGTCAATTGGAGAATGGTAAAATCAAAAGCGACAACTTAAGGCCTATTGATGAAATTGTATTTGAAAAACTGTGCTAATATTATACAATCTTCCCTTAAAAATGCGTGCGTCACTGGCATTAAGCAGTTGTCCTTCGGGTTCTGTAGTTACGCTTAGACCATCGCTAACTGAACTTCCTCAGGTTCTCCAAGAAATATTATTCTATGGTGAAGGCAGCCTCTAAGTGACACCTGCCTTCATAACTGTAACAGCACACAATCAACCCTTCCAATGTCTATCTCTAAATCTGATCTTCCTCTTTGCCTCTGGCCTTGAATGTATTTATAAACTGTTAAACAATCAATCACATCACATGTGATAATCACATATATATATATATATATATATATATATATATTATAAACCGAGAAATTTTTCTACAGCTTTCTAATCTCGCTCAAATATGTAAAAGGGAGTAGGTGAGTTAATGTGTTGAATTCAAAATATCGTTCCGATTAGTTAGTTCTGTTAATAACATGTTTTACTTGATTCCGTTTCAGTTACATATAAAGTTTTCATCTTTCCTGATTGCTTTTCACAGTCTTTTACAGAATCAAGGTGATTTTCTTGTACGACAAACAAGTAAACGTGCCAATGGACGTGATACTTTGACGCATTGGAATGGAACTAGTGGAGAGTTATTAGTCAATGGAAATCATAATGAAACACAGTTGAATAAAGATATGAATAATGATGGAACTGTACTACTACGTATGGTTTTATCGGTATTTTGGCATGGACATCGACATTTTATTCTATATGGTGGACCACAGTCTGGTGAAGGTTGGCATTTAGAAGATGGTCATTTTTCTACCATACGGTAAGTAACGATAATAATAATAATAACAGTAGTCACCTTGTAGTGAAAGAGAACACAGGTGAAGGCAACCGAATTGTATTTATCTAAAATTACAGAGTTGTTAATTGGTAAAATAGAAAAACCATATCGTAAATCGTTAATTTGCCAAAATATCAATCCATCATCCTTCGAACTAGACTGTTCCATTGTCTGACATTTCACTGTTCGTGCGTTTCATACTAATCCCATTGTGTTCCCACTATTTCATTTCTTGATTTTCCCCCATTTTCTGCTGCCAGACATTACGTTTTTACTCGCGTCATATACTACTTATAAGTAGCGCTCACCACAACCTGTTGATGATATATGGTTTTCAAGTGTACAGTGTTTTTAAACCTTCGGTTGTTAGTGAATTTCTCTATACAGATGCCATGGTACAGCTGAGAGTAGAGAGGATCTATCCTCTCTCTCCAAATACTCTGATGTGGCTACGCATAAGTAGTCACTGTTAAGGAATTCATACTCACTGCCTTCTTGTGGCACAAGCGTTGTTTACGAAATCGATAGAATGATAAGTGAATGTCCAGCGCTTTAACCTCATTGACACTTACATATCCAAACAGTTGTGTACAAAGCTCCACAATCTTACCGTTAGTCAGTGGTTACCATGGAACTGCATCTTGTAACGTCTCTACAATGTTTTATGGATTAGACCTTTGCCTCAAAGACTCAATGAGTGGCCCCCTTGGGAAATCATCTACTTTGGTTCGGGCGTCCAGTACGTAACCTTGCGTATTCACAAATTCAATCATTTGTTTGTTATATAAATATTCAGGTGCCTCATTTGTATCAATGTTTATGTGCTTCCATAACTCATAGAAAATCCCCTGTTAAAATCACTTACTGTTACTCTTGCACGTGAACACGTCAACCTGATATAGTTGTTTTATTACGAGTTCACCTAGTCGGAAAACGAGAGCGAGGATCGAGGATCGGGCGACACGACAAGCTACTCTAATCCGATTATCCCGACCCCCATATTGAGTAGAAATAAGAAGACTTGAATGTGAAGTAGAACCTGTATTCTACAAGCATCCAGAAAGTACGAGGTCCGAGTCTAGAAGAGAATCAGGATCCGGGACCAGGTCCTGGTCCCGGTCATAAAAGGTTACACATAATGCATATTTATACAGCATCGAAGTGTGTGACATTGACAGTGAAGACGACCAATAGGAAGCAACATTTGAAGTGACATTGATAGTGAGGACAACCAATAAGAAACAACATTGGAGTATGTGACATTGATATCTAGGACGACCATAAAATTGACCAGTAGGAATTAACCAATATGAAGTGACGAATAATTCTCTTAGGATATTGGATAAATATTCCAACACTTACACATTATTCTACTGACCAACATCAACTAACTAGCGTTTACCATAACAAGCATTTTCTCTCCGATGATCAGATAACATGAATATATTCAATCCAACACTGGAAGCACTGAGAGATAGCCATTCCATGCTGGTATATCATTGCCAATTTGATATCTTGGCAGCATCATCGACAACCAAGGTGGATCCGATGCAGATGTGAGGGCACGGATTGGCAAAGCAAGGGTTGCATTTCGACAGTTGAAAAATATCTGGAACTCCAAATAACTTTCAACCAAAACCAAAATCAGGATATTCAATACAAATGTCAAGACAGTTCTACTGTATGGAGCGGAAACCTGGAGAACTACGAAAGCCATCATCCAGAAGATACAAGTGTTTATTAACAGCTGTCTACGCAAAATACTTCAGATTCGTTGTCCAGACACCATCAGCAACAACGAACTGTGGGAGAGAACAAGTCAGATCCCAGTGGAGGAGGAAATCAGGAAGAAGCGGTGGAAGTGGATAGGACACACACTACGAAAAGTACCTAACTGCGTCACTAGACAAGCCCTCACATGGAACCCTGAAGGCAAAAGGAAAAGAGGAAGCCCAAAGAATACATTACGCCGAGAAATAGAGAAAGATATGAGAAGAATGAACAAAAATTGGACACAACTGGAGAGGGAAGCCCAGGACAGACAGAGTTGGTTGGAGAAAACTGGTTGGGCGGCCTATGCTCCATTGGGGATAACAGGCGTAAGTAAGTAAAGTAAAGTAAATATCATTGCCTGTGCGCATTCACGACTCCTGCCACTCACAGCATTTGAATTCATGACCCTTCGATCTTGCGCATGTACACCTAACCTCAGAACCATTTCTACATTAATTTTCTGTATACATATGTATATTTATTACTTTGTAAGATTCTTTCTTAACTAATTGCGTTTACAGAGAACTCATTGAATATCATATGAAAACTCAAACTCCTGTAACAGCTAAATCTGGTGCATGTCTTGTAACACCAATATCCAGACCGGATTGGGAATTAGACAATCGTGATGTACAGTTATTACAAAAAATTGGTCAGGTATACTGTTTATCTACATTGTTTCTCTTGTTCTCGATTACTTACTTACTTACTTACTTATTTAAGTTAGTTACGCTTAGTGAAACAGTATAGGTCGCTGACATTTGATTCTCCAATCAACTCAATCTACTTAGGGAGTGAAGTAGTCGAGAGTGTAGACCGCTTCACTTATATTGGGAGTCTCATCAATGCTGATGGCCTGGTGATTGACGAAATCTCAGCTCGGATACAGAAGGCTCGATTGACTTTCGCCAACCTTTGTCACTTATGGCGCAGGCGAGATATCCGTTTGCTAACCAAAGGACGAGTGTACTGTGCAGCAGTTCGCTCTGTCCTACTATATGGATGCGAAACATGGCCGTTAAGAGTAGAGGACTTTCGTAGGTTATTAGTCCTCGATCATCGATGTCTCCGAAGCATTGCTCGTGTATCCTGGGACAACCGTATGAGCCATGCTGTTATTAGGAAACGGGTGCTAGGTAAGAATGGCAGATGAATAAATTAAGTAATGAAACTTCATCAGTTGAGGTGGTTGGGACATGTGTTACGAATGCCTAACCACCGACTGCCTCGTTGAGCTTTGTTTTGTAGTGTAGGAATAGGTTGGAAGAAAGTTAGGGGCGTCCAAACCGAAACATGGCACAAACCCATGAAGTGATTGACAAGTGAACTGAGTCATGTCGGTAGTTGTTGACTACCTGTTTGGGGTCCGCGAGATGATAATAATCGATGGTTAAAGATCCTTAATGACATGGCTCAAAATCGTTTGCGATGGCGCAAGTGCATTTATTCTTTGTGTTATTTCAAATCTTAATCTTCTGGATTCTTCAACACTACTAGTTTTGTCTTTCTAAATTTATCTGATGGAATCATACTTCTTGAATAATATCTTCTAATCCTAACCTCTCCAATTACTTCTAATACCTTTACTACCTCTTCTACTATTGGATTTGAATTGACAATTATATCTCTGTGTTGATATGGTATGGCAACCTGAACTGATGTACTTATGTACGAAGTTCTGTGTTGTATCTGTCTGTCTGTGTCAGGTGTATTCTTCTGCAGTAGTAGCCCTGCAGAAGCTCCGGATTGTGTTTAATGGGTTTAACTTATTCCAAGACATACCATGTTGTATCGTTTCATTTCCACAGTAACTTGAATAGTTCTCTCATTCTCTCACGTTGTACAAATATTTCATATAACTATGTTAACTATTGCTCTAGTCGTTTGAAGGTGTATCGCTTTCGTGACTCCTGAAGAAACTCAACCTCCTTCATTCGTTATCACACCTCCTCTAAATGAAAATCTTTCAATTCCTACGACATCTTACTAGCGTTTACTCTTTTCTCAGTAGATTGTCAAACATCGTAACATCTTAGACTGTATTTTTTCTTATCATGTGAAGCGATAACCCGAAAACAGTTTATATGCGCTCTTGAACAGATTACGAGGTTAATAGACATAATCGCTGTGGTAAAACAAACAGGAAAAGGGTATGTATTAAAATATTTCAGTATGAGAAATCAAGCAGGTCGCCTAACAATTATTTTTCTCTAGAATACTAAGTTGGAAACATTGAATCTTGGTTACAGTTATTATATAACAGTGATAACTCGGTCTCAGAGGCTGTGAGATTCTAGTCAGATGATTGAAGTTCTTCTTATTATCTTCACATTCCTGTCTACCATTTACCGTAATGCTCAATGCTTGTAAACGACCCTAATTCAAGAATATTAAAGATTCCCATTATGAAAATTAGAACAAAACAGATATAAGTGAACAATATTATTGTTTTCGATTAGATCGTCATCAGGCTTTACTCTCTAATATACATGAATATTTATTAATATGAAAATGTTAAACCAATCAAGGCAATTTGAGTCAATAATCACAATGAAATGAAGTAGAGATTACGTCGGGCGTACATCCAGGCAACTTAACCAACGAATGAGTGAACATCTAACAGTCAAAAACAATACGCAGTTCTATCTTAGCACACCTCGCAGATAATGGTCACATTGTAGATAAATCTAGATCTTTCCAGATGATCTATCGTATACCTCCATCATTTCCCAACGGAGTTCGATCCCGTCTCCTACACACATTTCAGAAGCCATAAGAATACGTACATTCAACCCTAATTTCTGTGTTCTGAAGAAATTCGTGACATCTCTATTTCTTCCGTGGCCGGATATGACGTAACTAACGATTGACATTATATTTTTTTTATTTTTAACACATTTGCTAATTACGTAATGGTTTTGATGTTTTTTGATGATTATTTGAAGTCTATTCATCCACGAGGTTTGACCTACTATTGATAAAACTTTAGTTACACATTTTTGAAACCATGAATCGATCAATGTTAGACCACCATTAGAAATCTGAAATCATCGGACGGCCGTTTCGTCCTGTTACGGTACTCGTCAGCAGTGCGCATCCACGACTCCTGCACTCCGCAGGATTCCAACCCAGGACATTCGATATTGTGCACGAACGCCTAACTATTGGACCACTGAGCCGGTATCTAATGTTGTTAACGTCTAATTTGATCAATTCACAGAGTTGCGCAACCTCATACACAGTCTTCGATAGTTACTGTCTACACCCGAACAGGTTGAACTTCACTGGTCACGTCTTCCCACTAGAACTCGAGGAAGATTCCTCACGAAGCTAGTCACTAGTGAGCACAAGTAATTTGCATTACGGGATTGTTGTGAAGATTGTTAAGTTACACATTTTTTGAAACCATGAATCGATCAATGTTAGACCACCATTAGAAATCTGGGAGCACTGGTAGACGGCCGTTTCGTCCTGGTATGGGACTCTTCAGCAGTGCGCATGGTCTAACATTGATCGATTCATGGTTTCCAAAAAATGTGTAACTTAAGAATCTTCACAACCCCGTAATGTGAAACTTTAGTTATCATATTTTATAATTTTCTTACATCTACTATCAGTACACCTCTGTCTTCCTACTACTATCTCCTTGTACTTTTGCCTATTATGTGTAGTAGTGACGTAATCTCTATTTCATATTTCATTGTGATGATTATTGACTCATAAATTGCCTTGATTGGTTAGAACATTTTCATATCAATAAATATTCATGTATATTAGAGAGTATAAAGCATGATGACGATCTAATCGAAAACAACAATATTGTTCACTCATATGTGTTGTTCTCTAACTGACCCTAAATCAGTACTAGTGTAATGAAGGAGAACACAGGTGAGGGCAACCGAATTGTATATAAGGAAAATTACAGTTACTCAGTAAAATAGGAAAACCATATCGTAAACGTTAATTTTCAAATCTTCAATTCATCATCAATCCATTGTCTGACATTTCACCACTATTCATGCGTTTCATACAAATTCCATTGTGTTCCCACTCTTCTTACTTTCTTGATCTTCCCTCATCTTCTGCTGCCAGACATTACGTTTACACTCACGTCATATACTACTTATAAGTAGCTCGCACCACACTAGGTTCGTTTTCTTATTATCTACATGATAATCAACCTTCTTTGAATGATTTCAATCTCAAATGATGACTTTAAGATTGAATTTCAACATAACTAACCTATGATATCGATTACTTCCTTGAAGAAAACGCACACATTCACCGAACGAACCTATGGAAATTATGGTAATTTTTCGATAACTATGTATTATTTCTTCTATTCAAGTAGAAAAGTAGGACTGTTATGTTTATTTCTATCTCTCCTCTCTTCTTTTTTTTAATTTTTTTTCATAGGGTAATTTCGGTGATGTGTACCGAGGTGTATACAATGGCTGTGAGGTTGCAGTGAAAACTTGTCGTGTCGATATGACTGCATCTGATTTACGTAGGAAATTTCTTCAAGGTGAAACTACAGCATTGAATTTCAATCATCCAAATATTGTTAAATTAATTGGTATTGCAGTTCAATCTTATCCAATTATGATTGTTATGGAATATGTACCAGGTTGGTGTGATGAATTCGATTACAATTATTTGCTACTTATTTCCATTTTTTAATTCATGCTACTTATTAATTATAAGTAGTTGCATTTTCAAACAATAAAGAATTTCTTCTTGTATTTCTTTCCACAAAGGTGGTTCCCTACTTAATCATTTACGTAAATCGAAAAATGCATTGCCTGTAATGAAACTTCTACAAATGAGCTTAGATGCTGCTAATGGAATGATGTATTTAGAAGCAAAAAATTGTATTCATCGGTAAGTATTGATTTTTAATTCACAATACGTAACAACCACTTGTACATTCGCATGAATTTCATATTTGGTTAAATTTGTTCTCTGAGAATAATTGTAAAAACAGGCTAACTGTTTTTCGTTACTCAATGAAGTGCGTGTGTGTGTGTGGTGGATGTTGACTCACCAATTCTGTCGTAGTCAGGTATTTGATCCCATTCTTGAATTTTAAATTCTGCTTTTCACGATAACCTTTACTAGATAAAGACCAACGATGTATCAGTCTGTTATGCCTGCACGTATGCTTGAACTATTACGAATTTACCTAGTCGGGAAACGAGAACGAGGATCGAGGATCCGGCGACACGACATACTACTCAAATCCGATTACCCAAACCCTCATATTCAGTGAAAATAAGAAGACAAGACTTTGTATGATGTAGAACCTGTATTCTACAAGCATTCAGAAAGTGCGAGGTCCGAATCCAGAAGAGAATCAGGATCCCGGACTAGTGATCCGGGACAGAGCCCTGGTCGTGGTCATAAAATGTTATAGATAATGCGTATTTATACATTTTGGTCGAAAAGGAAACAGCATCGAAGTGTGTGACATTGACAGTTAAGACGACCAATGAGAAACAAGATTAGAGCACGTGACATTGATATGTAGGACGATCATAAAATTGACCAGTAGGAATTGACCAATAGGAATCGACGAAAAATTCTCTTATGATATTGGATGAATATACTAAAACAATCAGAAGACGAATACGAAGCGTTGATAAAGTTTATTATCGCACTGCACACAGATCAAAATATTACACACACACGAAGCGAATATGGTATGCTAGGATTCAATGTACATACACATATTCTAAGGTAGGTGAATCAGTCAAGGAAGCATTTAAGTGACTAATGATAAAGCGAAGAGAATGATTATGCATGTAGGCGGTATGAAATGCCCCAGTCAGTCAGTTGCAACGTAGAACTTCGTACTTATGAACATAAGTTGCCATAGGTTGCCATAGGTTGCCATACCACATTAGCAAAGAGACGCAAATGTCAAATCAAATCCCCTAATGATAGAGATAGTAGAGGTACTAATGGTAATGAAGAAGACTAGGGTTCAAAGATATTATTCAAGAAGTATAATTCAGTGAGATAAGGTTAGAAAGAAAAAGGTAGAGGTGCTGACGAATCCAGAAGATTAGGATTTGAGAGAGCTCAAAGAATGGATGAACTTGAGCCATTGCAAACGATTCTGAGCCATGTGGTTCAAGGTCTCTAACCATTGGTGACTTTCGTCTCGCGGACCCAAACTACGTAGTCTACATCTAGCAACATGACTCAGTCCACTTGTCAGTGACTTCATGGATTTCTGCCGTGTTTTGGTCTGGCCACCCCTAGCTTTCTTCCAACCTACTCCTACACCACAAAACATAGCTCGTCGAGGCAGTCGGTGGTTAGACCTTCGTTTCACATGTCCCAACCACCTCAACTGATGAAGGTTCAATACTTCATCTATTGATCTGCCATCCTTGCCTAGGACTCGTTTCCTAACGACAGCATTGCTTATTCGGTTGTCCCATGATATACGAGCAATGGTTTTAGGACATCTATGATCGAACACTAGTAACCTACGACCATCTTCTACTCTTAACGACCATGTTTCGCAGCCAAATGGGAGAACGGAGTGAACTGCTGCTCAGTACACCAGTCGTTTGGTTAGCGAACAAATATCTCGCATGCGCCATAGGTGACGCAGGTTGGAAAAAGTCATCCGAGCTTTCTGTATCGAACCTGAGATTTCGTCAATCACCAGCCCATCAGTACTGATGAGCCTACCGAGATAAGCGAAGCAATGTACACACTCGACTAATTCACTCCCTATCACTAGTTCAGGTGCCGATGCAACCGAATCTTAAAGCAATATTTCTCATTTCGAGGGTGAGACCTGCATCCCGAACATGCTTGCATCGTTGCTTAGGGTGGTCAGAAGACACTTCATTTTGTCAGCATCTTCACCGAATAGAACTATGTCATCGACCATACCAGCTCATAAGAGCGCGACAATAAAAGAAACACCATGGTACAGTAATGATATTGCAGTACGAATGACTCTGTCTGTTAAATCAGTCAATCAATTAAATGTGGACAAACCGTAATTTATGTGAGATACTTAAGCGTATTTTTTCCTGTATTAACAGGAACTGGAGATATTCAGTGGTTAGTCATAGTACAGTTAACTGTCTCGTATATTCAGCTAATTATAGGGCATACATTCTCTACGAACAGTTTTATGGAGAAATATAATTTCTGTGGTGTGGCTGAACGAATTCACGCCTCCCCTCACTGTTTTTTTACATTGAACAAAAAATAATCAGAGATTTTGTGTAATTTTGATTCAACAGATAACTAGTCAGTCTTAATTCTTATGCAATTTGATTGGAATGAGGGGTTACCTTGGTTCAAAATAAACTCTATGAAATCATCATCGTGTTTAACTTTTGTATTCTCTTCTTATCTGGATCGACGATTTCTGTCACTCACAGGAACCGAACTCAGGGCCTTAGGTTACGTTCGTGAGAAAATTCTCAGAGCTTTTGCAGTAAGATTTGACCAATGGAATTCAACCTTGTTGTGTATATAGACATATACTATCGAAGACAATGGATGAGGTTGCACAAAACTTTAGATTTGTCTTAGGTAGACATTAACACTGTTGGATTCCGGCTCATTGATTCAGAGATTAACCATTTACGCTCATCAGCTATGGTCCTGGGTTGAAATTGAGTGATTGGCAGGAGTTGTGGATGTGCACTGTCACTGATGAGTAGTCCCATTGCCTGTATGTTTTTCAAATGGTGATCTTATAATGATTGATACATGATTTTAGAGTACTTAACAAAAGATTTCCGTAAAAAAATTAACTCTTCTCAAAATTATCTAAATTGTTAAATATTCTTATTTTTTCTCTACAATCTCAAAATTAGTGATTTAGCCGCAAGAAATTGTTTAATCTCAGATAATGGTCAATTGAAAATAGCTGATTTTGGTATGTCAAGAGAAGAACACATTTATGAAGTAAGTTGAAAACAAACTTATTAGGCAATGTAGGTGTTAGATTTTTATGTTTTATCTTAGTTGGTAGTTACCGAAGTGGTATTTTTTTCTTGTCACAGAACTTTTTAAACTGGTACGTTGGTGTAAATTTCAATTTAATGACGTGATCAAAGTGTTACACCTGCATGTAAACACGTCAGCGTGATATGCTTGAACTATTACGAGTTTACCTTAGTCGGAAAAGGAGAGCGAGGATTGAGGATCCGGTGACACACGACATGCTACTCAAATCCGATTATCCCAACCTCCATATTTAGTGAAAATAAGAAGACATCACTTGATATGAAGTAGAACATGTATTCTACGAGCATTCAGAAAGTACGAGTTCCGAATCCAGAAGAGAATCAGGATCCCGGACTAGGGATCCGGGACCGGCACTGGGTCCTGATCATAAAACGTTACAGATAATGCGTATTTATACATTTTGGTCCAATAGGAAACCGCATCGAATTCTGTGACATTGACAGTTAAGATAACCAATAGAAAGCAACATTTGAAGTGACATTGATAGTGAGGACAACCAATAGGAAACAAGATTGGAGCATGTGACATTGATATCTAGGATGACCATTAAATTGACCAGTAGGAAAGTACCAATCGGAATTGACCAATAATTCTCTTAGGATATTGGATGAATATCCTAATACAAAGAGTTGAGAACTCAAGGCATTTTTTGATGTTAAATGTAACAGTGATTGTCAGATTTGTTAGAATAGCATTTGAATTCACTTGAATAACTTACCTAAGGTCTAGTTAAGTCAGTCAGAAACAATGTAGAATTTCGTACGTACGTACGTACATCAGTTCCAGTTGTCATACCCACTTTAGCACAGAGGCTTCATTGTCCATTCAAATCTCATAGTGGTAGAGGTAGTTGAAGCATGAGCAGTAATCGGAAAGATCATGTTCCGTAGATATGCTGCTACGAGTATAATCTAGTGCAATAAATTTGCGAAGAGAAAGATGGTCATGAGGAATTTAGAAGATTAGAATTTGAGAAAATGATTTTTAGCTATGTCATTCAAGATCCGTAACCATCGGTTACTATCATCTCACGGACCCCCACCTGCTAGTCTACCCTAACCAACATGGCAGTGAACTTCATGGGTGTTTGTGCTATGTTTTGATTTGGCCGCCACCTCTAGCTTTCTTCTTATATTCTACTGTTGCACCACAACTCATTACTTATCGTGATTAGATAACAAAAGCAAAAGTTAATTGTAAAATAGTTCAACATGAAAATAACCGATTCGAAATATCTGTTCATGTTAAAAATACTTCGCCCATTTTTCGGGATGTTAGATCCCCAGAACTTGCTTGATAAATGCCCCGATTTTGGATTTCACGTTTGTGAGCATTGGCTGATCAGTTGACTTTGAGATTTCATTTCCCACCAGGAAAATCCATGGTTGTGTGATTGGTTGCTGTGTATTTTAGTGTGCTATTTTTTTGTAACTGCCCAAAGGACGTTTCTATGATGTATAAATAAACGAGAGTTGTATGCTTGATTGCATTGTGTGATTGCGGGGTGTTCGTAGAATATACTTTCTACGCTCACGAAGACTTCTGTTTTATAGCTTGGGATTCAAGGTAGCCCAACTGGACGCTGGTTGATTCTATCGTTTGCGTTAATCGATTAAGGTGAACTCGTAATAACTTCAAGCGTTCACTTAGTGACCAGCGTAACACCCATCGAAAGCATCTCTTAACAGATACCATACAAGAAAAAAAATATGTGTAAAAACCCTGATTACTTATAAGTAGCATAATTATGAAACCATAAATGTCACCGTGGTGTCCATTCAATAGTGATTTTATTTATACTACTTATTTGTTTATTTTCAGTTAAGTGATAAACGTGGTCAAATTCCAATTAAATGGACAGCACCTGAAGCATTACGTACTGGTCGTTATACTATTAAATGTGATGTTTGGTCTTATGGTGTATTATTATGGGAAATATTCACTTTCGGTGATATACCATATCGTAATTGGTCTAATCAACAAACTAGAGATATGATTGAATCAGGTAAAAAAGAAGGCATTTTGGTTGAATATATTGTTAGTTTATTCTTCAATTATTATTAAATTTGATGAATGAAAGTTAACTAGAGTTTGAATTTTCCAACTGAATCATTCTGCCTGATCAGTCAATGTTAGAATATACAAAAGAGGAAACTTGAAAACATTGTATGCGAGTGCTTCAAGTTAGATAGTAAAGCTGAGGTTTTCTGTTTATCAAGCACAAAGAATGTGGAATCATGGTTGCTGTTGTTACGAGTATGAGGGTGGTTGTCACTTCCAGGCTGGTCACACCATGCAGGGTTGTTTCTTGAGGAACCTGAAAAGGAAGATAGATTAGTGTTGGCCTTCCTTGTGAGAAGACAGCATCGCTGCAGATGCTGGTTGTCCGAGGGAAACACCTTACTGCTGTCACACCCCTCCACGGTCAGTTTGCAGTACGACTTCGCCCTCAGACCTTGAGTAGCTGCTTTTAGTCTTATCGTTCTCCAATCGACCTGCCTGGTATGGTAGAACCTTCAGGAACATGTGTTCCAGCCAATATAGCTCGGTTGGGTCATCACAATAGGCAAGCCCGACCACCACGTCAAGGTAGCAGCTACGGTCGGGCAAATGGTTGCATAATATTGTGGATTACTTCAAGTTTGACACTAACACCGTTTGACGTTCTCGAAGAGTCGACCGACAATCCTCGGTTCCATTCCCGTTTGTGGTGTAGTGGATGTGCACTGCTGCACTTTCAGATGAAACGGTCTTTCAATACATTTAGCTTTCCGATGGTGGTCTTACATTGATTTACAGAAGGTTTGATTAGCTTTTGCAAACTTGCGAGATATCCATTTGCTAACGAAATAACGAGTCTACCGTGCATCCGTTCGCTCTTTACGGGTTCACAGCATGGACAGTAGTATTAGAGGATATCTGTAGGTTATCAGTTTTCGAACATAAGTGTATTCGAAAGATTGCTCGTATATCCTGGGACCATCGAGTAGGCGCTGATGTTGTTAGGTAGGAAACCATTACTAGGAAATGATAGTCGATCAATTGATGAAGTAGTGGGACTTTATCGATGAAGATGATTGGAACATGTATTACGTATGCTCAACCATCGAATGCTTCGATTAGCAATGTTTTGTGGTGTAGCAATAGACTGGGAGAAATCTAAGGGCGGCTAGGCCGAAAGATTGCACAAATCCATCAAGTTACTAACAAGTGAAGTGAGCCATGTCGGTGTAGGTGTCGACTACTTGCTCGGGATCTACATGACCATAGGAACCAAGGGCTAGAGAATTGGAATGACATGGCTTAAAATCGTTTAGAATGATGCAGGTGCATCCACTCTTTTTGTTCTCTGAAATTCTAACCTGAATTCCTCATCACCTCTTCTCATCCTTGTCTTTTGAAATTGATTTCACTGAATTACTTACTTACTTACTTACGCCTGTTACCCCCAATGGAGCATAGGTCGCCCACCAGTTCCCTCCAACCAACGATGTCTGTCCTGGGCTGCCCTCTCCAGTTCTGTTCAATGTTTGTCCATTCTTCTCATATCTTTCTCTATTTCTCGGCGTATTGTGTTCCTTGACCTTCCTCTTTTGAGGGTTCCATCTGAGGGCTTGTCTTGTGACACAGTTAGGTGCTTTCGCAATGTGTTTCCTATCCACTTCCACCGCTTCTTTCTGATTTCCTCCTCCACTGGAATCTGGTTTGTTTTCTCCCACAGTTCGTTGTTGCTGATGGTGTCTGGCCAACGAATCCGAAGTATTTTGCGTAGACAACTGTTAATAAACACTTGTATCTTCTGGATGATGACTTTGGTAGTTCTCCAAGTTTCCGCTGCATACAGTAGAACTGTGTTGACGTTTGTATTGGAAATCCTGATTTTGGCTTTGGTTGAAAGTTGTTTGGCCCATGCGCAAGGATGACACGCAAAATCGTGAAGCGTTCCATTTGTCACTGAATTATACTTGGAGATTAGTGTTTCTATACATTTGAAATCATCAATCAATCATTGTAATTAGCTTCGTGAGGAATCTTCTCTGAGTTCTAGTGATGAGAAGACGTGACCAATGGAGTTCAACCCTGTCGAGTATAGTGGGCAGTAACTACCAAAGACAAATAGGTGAGATCGCGCAAAATCCCTAGATCAATCAGAAGAGTTAGACATTAACACCGTTGTATGCCGCCGGCCCAGTGGTCCGACGGTTAAGCGTTCGCGTACAATACCAAAGGTCCCGGGTTGGAATCCTGTGAGGAGCGGTAGTCGTGGATGCGCACTGACGCTGATGAGTAGTCCCATGCATACCAGGACGAAACGGCCGTCGTGCAGTGCTTCTTCCAGGTTTCTAATGGTGCTGGTCTAACACTAATGATTGATTGATTGATGATTTCAAATGTGTAGAATCGTACTACGGTTTATTATTTATAATTCTGATTTTTCGTATTTATACATACATACATACATATATTTTTTAAAAGGTTATCGACTACCTGCACCTGATTTAATGCCAGTTTGGTTACGTACATTAATGAATCATTGTTGGCATGATGAACCAGTGAATCGTCCAAGTTTTGCAAAAATTTCACAAGAAATCAAAATACCCAATGTTAATTCATACACACCAAATTTGAATCGATCAACCGACGCCAACAGTCAATCATATTCAATAAAAAAGTCAACCGTTGAACATTTATCATCGTCAACTACTACTAGTACTACTACTACTACTACACCGTCACATTTCTGTGCAATTCCTGTGAAAGATAAACGTATTCGTGAGAATTAACAAAAATGCCCACTCAATCTAAAACTGTCCATGTACATACATATATATATATATATATATATATATACATATATACAGCAGCTATTCAACACACACACACGCGCACACACACTAACGCACAACTGCGGTGTACAAATACATGTGTCACATGTCAGTCAACTACGTGTGGTACATGCGTGGCGTGCACATTGCAATATCAACAAGCGCCCTTATCCATATAAGTAGTATATTGTTTTTAGAAATTACCCAGTGAATACTGTGTGTGTGTGAGAGAGAGTGTGAATGTGTATTTTCACTTCTGTTCACCTCTAAACTTATTGATTCCTTCTTATTGATGAATAATGATTGGTTTTATTTTTTACTTTATCACGCGCACAATTAGGCATACACACTTCACTTACCTACCCTACCCTACCCTACCTACCAGTAATGATCATCATCGTACTACTTATATATCTACTGATTAATAAAGTGATCCGTATGAACTTCACACACACACACAAAGAAAAACACACCATTGATTTCATCGAACTATTCTGTGATACACACGCATACACACGCACACCACATCATGTGAACTGGTTATTAGTCTAATTTTCTAATAGGATGATAATACCATGAATCTCCCTGTGTGTGAGTGTGTGTGGGGGTCATGTCGAGTTGGAAACTGGGGACACTCACACTCGCACACACTCACACACCAAACACGTAGCATGATGTAATTGAGGTTGGGCTTTTGTGATAGTTGTTGTTTAGGATTGCCTTCTGTCATCATGTGTTGTACGGTGTTGTGACCGCCGGCCGCCAATCATGATTTTGATCTGGTTTTATGTAATTTTCATCAATTTATTCTTTCTTCCTTTCTCATTATCAATTTCAATGAATACAAAAAAATGTATTAGGTAATATGAGTAGTAAGTAAGTAGTATATCAAGAAAAAAGACAAAAACAACAAAATATTTTCATGTATACACCACTTTGTAGTATATGAATTTTAATTTTTAATTTTTTTAAAATAAAATTCTCTATATATGAATGCATTTATGAGAAGAGTAAAGAGAAAAAAGACAAAACGACATGAGAAAATAGATATATACTGTGTTATAAAAAGTGAGATTCCTATCCTATCAGCCAGTGCGTTTTGTACATGTTTAGACAGCATCAATACAACTGTGTGGTGCATTTATCTACGTGTTCGGATAGCTCACGGTAATTAACTCGTTTAGACAATCGTCACTAAGTAGCGTCGGACGGTTTATAAATCAGAAGGTGAATTCGAGGTATTATGAAATACGTTTATATTTTTGGACACACCACGTAGCAAAGTTGAAAAGCAGTGAAAGAATGACCAAAGGAAGCGAATGAATCGAGCGAAGCGCGTTGGAGAAGGCTAATGAGCCAACTCAAAGAAATAGAGCATGACTGAGAATATATAGTCAGACAAAGATAAGACAGACCTCTGACAAGCGAAATAGGCATGCAGACACATGAATAAAAGCGATGAATAGTTGACAAGGTCAAATGACAAGTGGGACGTGTCATGTGAGCTCATACAAACCAGACAATAATAGGAAAGAACGGTACATACAGATTGTTGCTACGCGAATGGCTTAGTTGAATAGATTAATCGAAAGTGATTAACCAAGTTAGTTGTAAGCGAACTGGAATATATATGGGGGCACTACACAACTCCTTGTGTATGTGAAGCATTTTCCTCTTCATGACCAGAGTATAACAGCAGTTCTCTAGAAGCTAGTCTCAGTTGTCCTACCTGTTTCCAATGCGTTTCACTGATGCTGAGCACCTCGACGTTGTATATTTTTATTTCTGCCGAAACTTGAAATAGTCTTCCATTCTCCCACAATCTACGAATGTTCCATGTACATAAAAGAATGGTTGCTCTGGTTGTCAGAATAGGCATCGGCCCCGTGACTTTCGAGGGAACTCGGCTTTCATCACGCGACGTCATAATTCTTCCTCCAACTCCCAGGGCAGAGTTAAAATGGTTTGAATTATTTTTTCTGGTTAGCGTTTTTTGGCAAGTTAGTTTTTGACGGAATGGGGTCGCCAACCCCATGTCCAACCCTCCTCCTTTATCCGGGCTTGGGACTGGCAGTAGCCCCAAAGGTTCTACTGTCGGAGTTAAAAGATAGTTCATACAATGACTCGTTATTGTATTCAATTATTTTGAAAAAAAAAACATTTGAAATCATCAATCAATCATTAGTGTTAGACCAGCACCATTAGAAATCTGGAAGAAGCACTGAGTGACGACCGTTTCTTCCTGGTATGGGAGTGACTCATCAGCAGTGATTAGGCGTTCGCGCACAATACTGAAGGTCCCTGGTTCGAATCCTGCGAGGTGCAGGAGTTGTGTATGCGCACTGCTGAGGAGTCGCATACCTGGACGAAACGGCCATCCAGTGCTTCTTCCAGGTTTCTAATAGTGCTGGTCTTACAGTGATTGACTGATGATTTCATATGTTTAAAAACACACAAATCTCCCAAGCTCTAACTGAAAAAACGTAAACATTGATGCAAATAAGGGATGTAAATAGTGTTGTGGTGCGCGCTACTTATAAGTAGTATATGACGCGAGTAAAAACGTAATGTCTGGCAGCAGAAGATCGTGGAAGATCAAGAAATGAAATAGCGGGAACACAATGGAATTTGTATGAAACACATGAACAGTGAAATGTTAGACAATGGATTGATGATGGATTCATGTTTTGCAAATTAACGATTTACGATATGGTTTTCCTATTTTACCAATTAACTCTGTAATTTTCGTTGAATACAATTCGGTTGCCCTCACCTGTGTTCTCCTTCACTACATTTTGTGTCGCTGCCTACGCAAAGGATGAAGACACCATGGCCGAGGGAATTTGAGGACGGAGATGGGCGGAGCTTCCTGAAGGAGTTTGAGGCCATGACGGAGCTGGTGGGGGTGAAGGAGCCGAAGGCGAAGTTGTTGGTGCTGGCGAGGCTGCTGGGAGGAAGGGCGAAGGCCGTATATGACAGCTTGGACGGTGCTGGCAGGGAGACGGTCACCTGGCGGCTGATGACGGAGTTCGACAGCCCAGCGGACAGGGAGAAGGCGCTGCAAAAGTTTCGGTTGGCGAGGCTGATGGTGACCCGCTGGTGCTTGCTGTGGAGCTCACAAGATTGTTGCGCCGTGCTCTGCCGAATATCGATGAGGAGTCGGAGTCACAGTTGTTGACGTCGCAGTTTATCGAGAGTGTGTCTGCCGCCTTGTCCCAACAGCTGAGACTAGTAAACGCAGCGTGACCTATGGATATCCGTGAGCTGGCGAAGGTGACTCGTCAGCTGATGAAACGAACAGTACCTCCGGTTGGGTGCGAAAAGCAGGAGATAAATACTTTCGAGAAGAAGATTGAGGAGTTAGAGCGTGAGATAGCAGCATTACGAGTGGATCATAAAAGGAACGATAGATGTTACGCTTATGGAGCGGCAGGATATTTGAAGATAAACTGTCCAAGAAGACGACGACGAAGATATTTTAAACATTATAACATGTGTTCTTTCCACCCTAGGAATCGGGAGGTTCTTGAACTAGTAGACAGAGGGGCAATTTATGCCAGAGTGTACATAAATGTGCAGGAGTTAGTGTGTTTGATCGATACAGGGGCAGCTATATCGTTAATAAGCAAAGAGCAATGTAAGACATTCAGACCATGTACATTAGCTGTCCACACCATCGGAGGGCATATGCTAGAGGTGTTGGAGGTATCTAACAGTATTGTGAAAATGAGTGGGGCTGAGATAAATTTTCCGTTCGTGGTAACCACAAGCTTATCGAGACCGATATTAGGAGCAGATTTCCTAAGAGAGGTAAAAGCGATTATTGACTTGAGGAGCGGGAAAATGGTCACAAAGTACGGTTCATTACCAACACACGAAAGAAGCGAAGTGGCTGAAATAAGGATGACAACGGACGTCTCGACCAAGAAACAAAACATTAACGAGTCATGCGCAAAGTATGCGAAATTGTTCACTGGACATGGGGAGCCGTATGGATTTTGTGACAAAGTAAAGCATGCAATTCCTATGAAGAACGACCGAGTAAATATATTTGCAACACGTCGTGTCCCGGTGCATTTAGAGGCCGAGGTAAATCGACAGGTCTAAGAAATGTTGAAAGAAGGTATGATTGAGGAAGCGGACAGACTGTATAGCTCACCGGTACTCTTGTTAAAGAAACCCAATGGAGAGTATAGATTGTACGTGGACTTTAGAGAACTGAATAATATAACAGACCCGAAACCGTGCGCAATGCCAACAGTAGTAGAAACATCAGATCGGCTACAGAATGCCACGGTGTTTACAGTGCTGGATTTACGGTCAGGTTATTGGCAACTACCTATAAAAGATAGCGATCGCAACAAGACAGCATTTACAATACGGGATAAACAGTATCAATTTAAACGAATGCCGATCGGGTTGGCGGGTGCACAGTTCACGTTCAGAAGATTAATGACGCTGCTGCTCAAGAATCTAGATAATGTTGAGGTATATGGCGACGATGTATTTGTATACAGCCTGACCGAAACAGATCACGTCAAGCAGGTGGAAGCGGTCTTAAAGTGAATTGACGAATTCGGGCTTCGAATTAATAAGGAAAAGTCGCAGATAGCGTAAAACAGCGTCATATTGTTGGGACATAAAGTGGGAAATGGAGAAATAAAGCCATTACCGGAGAAAATTCTTACCATAAAAAACATTGCAGTACCTAATTCGAAAAGGAAGTTGAGATAATTCCTGAGAAGAGCGGCGTTCTATAGTGGGTTTGTCAAGAATTTCAACGAAATAGCAGCGCCTTTATATAGGTTGCTGAGCAACACCAAGTTTACATGGACTGAGGCTGTCGAACAAACGTTCGACCGAATCAGAAACATGCTAGACGATCGTCAGATGACGCTGCGACTGCCTGAACCCGGAAAACTGTTTACAGTGGCCACAGATGCAAGTGATCATGGTATAGGTGCGATATTGAGTCAGGCTGATAGAGTGGTGGAATACGCATGTCGCGTTCTCACATCCGCCGAGCAGAAGTATTCAACGATCGAGAAGGAGTGCCTAGCAATCGTGTGG